ATCCTGGTCTGTTGGGGGTGCAGGCAGCTCTGACCGAGACAGGAAGAGACTGAACAAGCTAGTTCGCAAAGCTAGCTCGGTTCTGAGCTGCACGCTGGGTTCCGCTGAGGAGACGTGTGAAAGGAGGATGACCACCAAGGTGACCTCCACCTGCCTCTTCTCCTGTCAACGCAACACAAAGCTGCGCCTTTAGGATCGTACGCATGTCCGTCCCAAGGTGGAGAAACCGCGTCAGGACTGCGCTCCACCGTGTTTTTGTGTCTGTGTTGTAAATAAATAAATAACCTTTATTATTTTTTCTTCAAATGATTCTTTAAGTGTTAATGGTGCTGCAACAAGTGAACGTCGTCGCTGTGGGGTCAATGGTCTATTCTACTATTCGTTTGCCGAGGCACAACTAGAGGTGCCCTAAACGCATGACATCATCACTCGTGCACACTGGGCTTCAGGTGAGTGGACACACACCTCAGCTGCCCGGAGGTTTAATAAAGCGTCTAACCCTCACCCCATTCAAACAGAAGAAGAATGGTTCGTTTACAAATGCATTGTTTTGTATCTTGTTGATAATTAAAATCACTTCTGTTGTGTGGGACTTGAGCAGTTTAATAACCGAGGAAACATCAGCTGCTGTAGAATTAAACTAATGATAAATTAATAGATTTAACAGCTTTTATGCTCTAAAGTTCTGGACCAAGAACCAATGAAGTGGCACCGCTGCAAAATCCAGGAGAAGCACATGGTCCTAGGTGGGCCGTCGCAGCCCAAGATGAATCCACCCGGCGCCAGAACCATGACTCAAACCGAGTTGTTTCCACCAGTTCAGGCGTGACGGAACCTCAGGGCCGGGATCACATCTGAGGTTTTGGATCCTATCGCTGATCAGGACCAGTTTGAAGTCACAGCCTCATGGACGGTCGTGGAATAAACGCTGATCCAAGACCCATTTTTATCAGTACAGAATTTGTTTATTAACCTGACTTCACTGTAAAGCTTTTGTTGCAAACAACTGAAATAATTCTAAAAATAAAGACAAATTCCTCAACTTTAGTGACACACACTTTATTGCAAATGAAGTTTCAGCAGAAGGTTTTTGACCACATCTGGATCCAGAACAGAACCTCAGGAGGCCCAGATGATTGTGATGAAGACTCCGCTGACGGACTTATTCATATAAATCAGGACACAAATCTGACATTTAGAATCAACGTTTGGTCGTTTTCATGGGAACACATCAAAGGGAAAAACAACACATTTTATTTCAAATAAATAACCCAGGTGATGCCTGACCACGCCCCCTTCTTCACCCTGTAACCAATCAGAGCTGAGACACTGATCCGACTGTGGGGTAGACTGAGGGGGGAGGGGGTCAGAGGTCAGACCGAGGAGGCATCTCTACTTTTTATGTCACCATGTATTCTTGCCGCTTGTTGAGCCTGACTTGGCAGAGTGAGACGGCGCCCACCACCACATAGATACCGGCGGCGATGAAGCAGTTGATCCCCACCTGGTTGTAGAGGCTGTAGATTTTCTGAGGTGGGTTCGGGCTGCAGGACAAATCAGAAACTCGTTACTACTGGATCGGGTTTGGGCCAGGGTCTGTTTCATTCAGGCCCTGTCCTCACGTAGCCGGGGATCTGCCAAAACGTAGATATTTTTCTACGTTTTGGCCTGTCATCCACACGAAAACGCGGAGTTTTTTCACACGAAAACGGATCTTTTTAAAAACTCCGGCCAAAGTGAAGATCTGCGTTTTCTCCGTTTTGGGTGACTGCGTGTGGACGGACAAAATCGGAGTTTTAAGGTCCGTAACGTCACTTTCCGCGACAAAAAATGCTGACATCACGTGTGCGACCTGTGTTTACACTAGCCGGCATCATGGATGCCCTCAGAGCTGCGCTCTGTCACTACCCGATCCATCAATTGTCCAAGCGCTTTCTGCTTGTTTGTTTTTGCAAGCGGAATTACTGCTCCTTGCGGAAGACCACAGACGAAGGACGAGGTTAAGAACGGGGGAAGTACTGCCGCCTACAGGTCTGGCATGTCCTTAACAACGTATTTATCCGGGTACGTGTGGACAGAGTCTGTTTTTAAAACGCGGTGGTGTGGATGCAAGTTTTTGGAGGGGCGGGTATTCGTTTTTAAAAAAAACCCGGCTACGTGTGGACTAGGCCTGAGTCAGGGGTGGTTGTGTTCCCGTTTACAAAGACATGCTAAAATGCTAAAACTAAATGATTAATACGATACCTGCAGGAGAAAAACAGATACTTTCTTAAATTACAGTCTAGGGCTAACAAAAGGCCTGAGTGGGCCACACATGGTCCGCAGGCCACCCTTTAGACCCCCTGATGCAGGTGAAGCGGTGATGACGCGTATAAAACTAGATTTCATTTTGTTAGTTTGAATTTGGTTCTGAATTTAACAGAAGCATCCATATCAGCAGAAGATGGTTCGGATGACTCACTCGTTCCGGATGTCCTCCTCAGTGAACGGGACGTCTTCAATCAGCACGGCTGACTTGGCACTGAAGAAGATCCCCAACATGGCCTGTGATATAAGAACAGAGGTCAGAGGGCATTCAGGCAGGGAGTGGTTCTGAATCCAGTCTGTCATTCATTCATTTAGAAAGCACCTTTTACGACCTTAGCAGCACACCAAGGTGCTGAACACAACCCTAAAACTCACAGTAAGGACAAATATAATGCTGTTATCTTTAAAAGAAAAGAAAGGTAAAAACTAAGAACAAAAATTGAAAGAATGTGGAAAAAACAGGAAACAAACATAAAAATCAGCTAAAAAAACAATAAAAGATGGAGGCGATGTTGCGATCTATAACACCGAAACTCCATTGTGTAAAAACGAGTCTTCAGGCGAGACTTAAAAACCAGAAACGATGGCACCTGCCTGACTCGGGTAACTGGTTCACTCCAGGTGTGCTCTAGACAAAAAGCTGTTCTAGACTTTAGACACATCCCAACTAGACATCACCCACTTTAGACGTCTAGTTAGGATAAGCGGAATTGCAATGATGGAATTAAAATGTAGACGTGTTTTACAATGAGATCTTGATGCTTTTTCAAGCTGATGACATGAAAACGACGTTTGTTCCAGTAAACTCTTAAAAACACGAAGTTGTTTCTGATCAGCGAACGCAGACACCAACAACCCCATCACACCCAGGGGCAACTTAAAGCCTCCAGTTGGCCTGACATGCACGTTCTTGGTATGAGGGCAAAACAAACGCACACGTGGAGAACATGCTAACGGGATTCGAACCATCGACCATTCTGCAGTACTACACGTTACCAACTCGGCACCATGTGTGTGTGTGTGTGTGTGTGTGTGTGTGTGTGTGTGTGTGTGTGTGTGTGTGTGTGTGTGTGTGTGTGTGTGTGTGTGTGTGTGTGTGTGTGTGTGTGTGTGTGAATGCTAAATAAAAATGAAGCAAAGGGGAAAAAGAGGAGGAGGAACTGACTTCCTCTGGAATGTCACGAGGGTAAAACAGTCACGTGACTCAATAGGAACCGGTCTGGGATCGGTCTATATACAGATGCTCTCCGGATCAGCACAAGCTGAGCTATTTATGCTCTGGTGTCAACAAACCCAGAATACCCTTAATTTGACCTTTTTACATCCGGTTTTAGCCACCTCCAAAACCCAGTTTACACAGGCAAAGGCCTTCAGCAGGGCTCCGTCTGTCCGCTAAAACATTTCAGGACCACAGAAAAAAAAAACTCTTCGTGGACATTTGGTCAGCTTTCAGTCAAAAGTTAGTCAATCACAACATACATTTATGCATAACTGTCCAGGAATTAGCCGGTACCCAGTCGGATCTTACCAGCATGATGACCCCCCAGATGCTAATCACCATACCACAGGCGGCCATCTTCGGTCCGCAGAACAGAAGCGACGGCATTCTGTTGACCGGTTAATCGATCTTGTATACGCGGATGATCTGTTTGATGGTTTTACGGAGTCAAAAACGGTCCATCGACGGACGGAACGTCGTCGCAGTCAGCTGATGATCCCCTTTAACCGGATGTGCTCGGAAATGCTCGGCAGGTTCCGCCAATCACAGCAACCACCCAATGCCCCGCCCTTTCCTCTGAACAGACCAATGGTATTAGAGTTCCAAAGTCGCGCAGCATTCTCTGCTTCCTGTCTGCCTACCGTTGTCGTCTCTATTTATGCTTGTTCAGAATATGTGGATTTTAAATGATTTATAACAAAATTGCATCTTTTTCTCGGCTCCAAACCTTCTAAACTTTGCGTTGAGTTTTCAGAAAACGTGCCAAGGGTTTTATGGACGCCCGCAAACAGCAGCGAGCTTACAGAAGCTAACTGTTGCTAGCAGCTAGCTTTTTGTTTTTGTTTTGAAGTAACGTAAAAATCCAGAGAATGACGTCTGCCTCCGCTAAGGTAAGCGCTGCTCTCACGCGGCCTTTCTCCTGAAGCCCTGCGGTGTTCTTCCCGCCTTTAGAGCGGGTTCCTCAGCTGCACGCAAAACTCCGCCGTAGAAACTCATCGTTTTACTTTTCTGCGTGTAGCACAATGAGGACTTAGTAAAGCAGTCGTTGCGTTTCCTGCCTAAAGCAGCACGGCCTTGGAATAAACTCTGCTTCTACAGACTTACGTAATTGTGCCCGAACGCATATTTAGGTTTGAAATGGAGACTTTCACCAGGAAATACGTCCTTTTGCGTTTATAGCTGGGCAGTGTCATAAATATTACACATTAATATTGTTTGTTTGTAGATACCGTTTTAATTTGACCAGAACTTTAACAGTTTGTTGTTGGTAGCAGCCAGGTGTCAGCAGGGTCAGTTACAGCAGCTAGCCTGCTGTACACCTGTTATCCAGTCTCCATGGTAACAGATGCTGTAAACCCACCGAGGTCTGGTCCAGGTTTTTTTTTTTTCCAAACAAGAGAAAGGAACTCAGAACTTGACCAGTGTTCTTAGAAAATGTCCATGTTATAACGAGCCAGGTGTTGGACCGTCAGAATGAAGCTGGACTTGGTCCTTAGAGGGAGATTCTGGTCCTGATGGTGACTAGAAAGGTTCATCTCAAGTGTTTGTTAAAATCCGTTTCTGGTAGCGACCCGCTGGTTGCTGCCTCCACTTCAGTCTGTTTGCTGTCTTGTGAAGCTGCTTGTTCTGTTATTACGAGCCTCCATGTAGAGGCGACAGGAGTTGGGTCAGAACCAGACTCAGACTTTGTTCTGGCACCTTTTCTCTACAGGTGGGTGAGATCTTCTCAGCAGCTGGAGCTGCTTTCACCAAGTTGGGAGAGCTGACGATGCAACTGCACCCAGTGTCCGACTCCAGCCCCGCAGGGTAAGACGCACACAAACCTTCAAGTGTACTGGAGGTCTGAGGTCCATCTTAATCTCTGAGAGGTTTGCATGGCCGCAGACACCTGAGATGGAGGCGGAGTCTGACCAGACATCACGATTCTGATGAATTAACAAACCTGACTGATTTCATTTAAACTTTCTGTCTCCGTTGATCCAAACAAGTTCAGATGAAGGCAACTGGACTTCTTTGGTTTCTTGAAGACGTTTTGTTTCTCTGGATTCTGACTGGAAGATGGGAGAGTCAAGCTTATAGGCTGTAGCTGTCTGTTATTTAATTTATAAACCTGACTCTCCCGTGTTCGGATGAGAAGCGAAACGTCTTCAAGAAACCAAAGAAGTCCAGTTACCTTCATCTGAAGTCATGTGGATCACCATGACCTGGATGACTGAGAACCTTCACCAGCTTTCTGTCTCTGTTCACGATCCCAGCCCATCACAGAGCTTCACCAGTTAGTCCACTGACCCTGATGTCGCGTGTTTAGCTGTGATTAATAACCTACATGCATCAGGTTTATGGGATGGTGCTTGGCTGAATCCATTTGGATACTTTAAGGAAACAAAGTGACATCAGACAGACAGAAGGAAACACGTCTCGTTTTATCTCATTAGCTTCGTTAGTTCCAGTATAAGCTAGTTAGCATCAGGGCTAACGGGTATGGAGCATCTAGTCTGGCACCAGAGCGTGCTGTAGGCTTATTCATCATGAGGCAGTTTAGTTTTGTCTGACAGCAAATAAACAAACACTTAATGATGACGTGTGGTGAGACACACCAGCTGCATCCTAAACGCAGACCCAGAGGTTAGACTGGGCCCAGCAGCGTTAACGCCTTTAAACCCAGCAACTGAGTCCTGAGTCAGCAGCTCAGCCGTGAACTCTCGTTATGTTCGTCCTCAGAGCCAAGTGGACGGAGATGGAGATCGAGATGCTGCGATTGGCTGTTTGTCGCTTTGGAGACGACCTGAACAACATCAGCTCTGTGATCAAAGAGCGCACTGTGTAAGTCCTAAGGAACCGTTCACCAATTCCCAAACACAACCAGCGTCAAATGGTTTCATTCCTTTTTGTTCCCGGTTCCTCGTCTGGTTATACGACAACTTTAATGAGAACATTGGGGTTTAAAGGTTTTAATCCGTTTTTGAAACGGTTTTAAACAGAAACTTTGATTTGTTTGAATGCTGAGCAGAACGGCATTCCTGAAGGCTCTGCCCAAAACAAACAGACCAGATCGTACAGAGACAGAAAAGGAATCACTAATGACTGTTTGACTGTGAAAGCTCCACCCACTTTGAACCACAGTAACCCAACAGAAATTCAAGCAGACAGGTGAGATCAGGTGATTGGCTGATGGATGCTTCTTCCCTCCTCAGGGCTCAGATAAAGAGCACGGTGAAGAGGAAGTTGTACGAGGACAGCAGAGTCCCCATTTCCTCCGAATTCCCAAAGAAAACAGTGAAGAAAGCTGCTGTTTCCATGACGACTCCAGTTGCAGCCGCTCCCACCATGATCTCCGTGGCCACCTCACAGGTTGTCGTAGCGACAGGGATGCAGAACAGCCCCTCTCTGGCCCCGCCTATTAAAAAACAGAAGACAGCAGGTGAGAACAGGTTCCTGAATGCAGGTAAGACCTGAACTGGCTCTCAAGGGAATGGACCGAATCGGGTTAGGGTCTGGTCTCAACAAACCTTTGAGTTTTTGATCCCTAGATGTTTCCTCCCTTCATCAGATTTGTCTCCTGCAGACGTGACACTCAGTGCTCTGAATGACTCGGACGTGAACAGCGATCTGGTGGACATTGAGGAACTTGGAGATGGGTCCTCCAACAAGAAACTCAACTTTGACCAAGGTGGGTCTTTGAGAAGCTGGATGGAGATCTAACAGAGCAGAACCTGAGAGGTCCACAAAGTCTGGATCAGGAGTTAAAACCGGATTGAGGGTTCTGGAATGGGTCCAGGTTCCTCTGAAGATCTGGGGCCTCGTTTATCAAGCTTGCTTACGCACAAAACGGGGTCGGAAAACTGTGGATGCAACTTTCCACGCAAACTGGGATTTATGAAAGAAAACTTAGTGGAAAAACGTGCGCAGGACCTGGCTTACACACATGTTGGACATGGAGAGCACCTGCAGTGCTGCTGCTGAGAAGATACAATTATGAAATCCTGCAGCATCATCACTTGTACTGCTTCGTTTTCACACAGAACAAGACCCCCCACACACGCGCGCACATGCGTTCACACACACACACACAGCCTGAAGCGCAGAATGCAGATATCAGCAGGGGGACAGATTGAGACAGAACATCATGCGTCTGTAACGGTGTGTGTCCTGTCGCCGTGACCCGGTTAATCATGCGCCCTGGCTAGTTGAACAGGGGAGATCTCCGTTTGGCGGACTGGTTAGCGGTTTTAAGGATTCTACGCAGTGTTTGATAAATGAGACCCCTGGTGTTTTGGTTCCACTGATGATTTAAGTTTAATGTTTGTCTTTATGTCCTCAGAGAGCCTGAACCTGGACTCCAGCCTCATCATGAACTCAAGTGACCTCCCACTTCTGTCCCGCTGACCTCTGTGGAAGCTTCCCCCCTCACAGATACTTTTATTCTGAAAAGACACTCCAGGTCACTTGTCAGAACTCATCCTGTGTTCACTGAACTTTTTATTGTTTTAAACTTTTTTAGTTTTGGGTAGATTGTGCGTGTGTGGGTGTCTGTGTGTGTGTGTGTGTGGGGGGGGGGGGGGGGGGGGCTGTCATCATGTTTACTCGATTTAATCTCTGAAAACGATCACTGTTCCTCCTGGATTCTCCTATAGGACATCAGAGTTGCTGGACTTCCTGTTGGTCCAGGTCTCCATCCTGTTGAATTAAAGCGTCTCTGTGAAGTCGTGTTTCCTTTGATCTGCAGCAGGAAGAATATCTGAGTTCTCCGCTCTGACGGACGTCTAGAACACACGTGAAGCTTCTGCATGAAGCAACAGGAAGTGATGCGTTGGTCAACATTCGTTCAATAAAGTTTTTATTGATCATTTTCATATACAATATATATATAGTGTATACATATATCTATATATGTGTATGTATATACATACATATATATATACATATATGTAACATACATGAATTGTTGCTGCTAAAATCTACTAAAGGTAATATTTACAGGTGTGCTGCCGTAAACCCAAACACCAGAACTTCAGCCGTATACATGTCTGATCAAACTTTGGCTTCAAATCTGGAATATAAACAAACACCAGAAGCAACATTTGGTCACACGGTTCCACTTGAGGGGATATTTAGGCTCAGGTTTATGCATCAAAGATGGAGGTTCTATGGAGCTACAGGCCCAAATGGTTTGTCTCTAGAAGCTGGTGCTCTTGTAGAGGAACATTTAACACTGAAGCATCATCTAGGAACCAAAACCTGAGCAGCACGATCCTGGACTCTGGAGAACGTTTGGTTTTAAATACCTGGGCCCTCAATAATCCAACGTTTGTAGAAAGTGTCCCATATTCTCTCCAATGACTGAAATTTAGAAATTTCGCACCAACAGTCAAAATCCTGATTTATTAAAGGTGCGGTGGCCTCTCGTACGCACGTTCCTCCGCCCTCTTCTGATGACAAATCCCTCCTGTGCGCACCCAGGTGCTTGTGTCCGTTCTCATTTACATACAGAAACGCCCTCAACCATATTTGGTCACGCCACGTCCTCAGCACGTGAGGGGGTTCCTGTTTTTTCACCCAGAAAAACTTTGACAGTGAGCTCGAGACACCGCTGTTGAAGGATGCGGACAGACTCCTGTCAGGAATAAATGAGTTAGATTAATGAAGTAAGGGGTTCTCGTTTACATTTAAGGAGTCGTTCTGTTCGGTGTGTGTCATTTGGAAGAGTCTGAGAGCAGCCTCTGGTGGTGTGTATGATCGGGGAACAGAAAGAGGTTCGGGGGGGGGTCTCTAGTTGAAAGATAAAATATGAACTGGAATCAGATTCACAAGGTTTGCCATGGGGTCCAGAGAGCATGCTCTGTTAAATCCTCCAACAGATCAGCCATGATATCATGTCAGATTCCCGTCGGTCACACGTCTCATTGGTTTTAGCACCAATAATGCGGAAAAGCCGTTTTTCCACCGACCGCTACATACTGGGTAAATGTCAGTAGTGGATGACGGGAGACCTTCAGACCAGCTGTTGCCCCGTTCTACCACTACATGCTGCTCCTACACATGGTCACACACAAGTACAGTGAGTAAATTTGTGCCTACGCAAAAAATACAGATCTGTGCGTAAGCACGCTTGATGAATGAGGGCCCAGGACTGGTGGACAGGTCTAGGTCTGATCTCTTAAGGGACAGGTCCAGTCTTGTGAGGTGCTTACTTAGACGGGATCCTGGAACAACCACATTTTTACCAGTTCCATTCTGTGGCGCTGCTCCGGTGGATTCCCGGTAGAAGGAAGGCACTTTATGAGAACAGCTGGTAGAGACAAACAGAGGCGACGCCTGACTCCGCCTCTTTGGGGGCTGATGCACAATCATGAGCCAAAATATAAAAGTGCAGAAGCTACAGGCAGAACCATGACCCTGTCCCTGGACCTTAGCACACCCAACCCAGTGAAGAATGATTCTGTGCAAACGTCTTCACTTCATGCAGACTCAGATTTATATTTCTAGAGTCGTCGTGGGTCTCCTGTGGTCCATGTGGTTCCTGCTGAGGCTCCTCAGGACCGGCCTGGCTCACAAACCACAACAGGAGGAACATTAACAGGTGACCATTTGAAAATGTGCAAAACGTTTTTAGTAAAAATGAAGCTATTCATCAGGGTCATGACCCTGTAAACCCTCAGCAGCAGACCTGATGGGTCTCCATCCCATAATAATGTTTATTTGGCAGACGCTTTTATCCAAAGCGACTTACCATTTATAACCTATAGGGCACGTTGTGATCTGTGGGGGAAACCGGAGTACCTGGAGGAAACCCACGCATGCATGGGGAGAACACGCAACTCCACGCAGAAAGGCCGCAGCCGAGTTTCGAACCTGCAACCTTCGTGCTGCGAGGCAACAGTGCTAACCACTGCGCCACCATGCAGCCCAATAATCCCACAACTCTACTCAGACTCTCAGGAGACATAAGTCCCACGGTGCTGCCACTCTGAGATGGGTCAAAGGTCGTTTTCAGACTTGCTATGACTAGACTTTACCCTAAGGTCAGAGGTCAGACTCTAAAGGCCCCTCCCACAGCAGGACCTTAGACCAGAACCTGACTGGACACCAGTCTGAGCTTCACCGGCAGATGTTGCTTACTGGAAACCACTCGGAACAACGCCCATGAAGTCGCTGAGTCAGATGTGGGTGAATGTGAGACTCCGGTTGGCTCATGGGTCTCTGAACAGGACTATAAATTATTCTCCGCTCCGCCTCACGCCCCGAATCTTCAGTCTAAAAGCTAATCTGGAGTTTGACCGTCTGTCACATAATCTGAGATTTATCAAACAGGATCAGAAAATGACTTCTCTGAGACCCCCATTCGTTGTTTTGACAGCAGGGACCGGAAACAGATGGGCGTGGCTTCGGTTCCCTGTGGTCAAACTTTGGTAGCTCCACCAGGAACCTGGATGTGAACACAAACACAACCAGTAAGAAACTACCCAGAATTCCTAGAGGTTCAGGCTGCAGAAGCTTTCCCAGTGGAACCAGACCAACCCTGGTGCTGGTCCTCAGGCTGGACCCTTCTGGACAGTTTGACTCCATTTTTTGGTTTCTGAGCAGCTCAAACACACACACACACACACCAAGTTCCTTGTGGACATTTGGACTCAACAGAACCAAAACCGGGTTGCTGCTTTAGTTCTGACATGCTTCCTTTGAGCCTAAACCCAGACTCCTGGACGTCTTCTGTTTGGTTCTGTCTGAAGTGGACCAGAACCCGTCTGCAGCAGCACCAGATGGAGGTGACACGTGCTCCTCTGCCACCGGCGTGTCTTCACATCCATCCCAGTACTCAGAAGTGGGTGTGGCCAAACTAGTCCAAGTCTTGTTGTGGTGTTTCTGCTGAGTGGCGAAGCCGTTAACCAATGAGCTGAGAGATAAATATCCGCCCTTCCAAAGGCAGGAAACCCGTTTAAAGGAAGGGACGGGACTTATGGTGAGTCTGGTTCCTGACTGAATAAAAAAGGTGCTCTTGCTGGTGTTGACCCACAGTGATGAGTGTTAGTGTCCGGGGTTCTGGGGGGAGGTGAAGGGGGTGAAGGAATGGGGAGGAGACACAGAGAGTGGGCGGAGCGGAGGGTTGGCTCTTCCCACCGGACAACAGTCCGTCGAGGGCTGGGAGACACTGAGGAGGCCGAGTAAGGACAACAAAGATGAGTGTCCAGGTTAATCTGATGTCAGGAGACCATAAGCCTCAGGTGAGTCTCACCTGAGGGTGGAGCTGCTGCGATGGGCGGGGTCTGTTACCCCGGCAACAAAAAGCTTCTTTGGGGGTCCATCTGAGTCCACTCCTCCTGAAAAAGACATCACAAAATTACTGCCTGTCCTTAAAGAGAGGGAACAGAGACAGAACAAAGAAGGGAAGGAGATGAGACAAAGACAGGACAGGCCAGACAGAGACGAGACAAATACAGGACAGAGACAGAACAGAGCGGACAGAAACAAAACAAAGATGAGAGAGACAGAACTGGGACAGAGACGAGACAGATGGGACACAGACAGGGCAGAGACGAGACAAATACAGGACAGAGACTAGACAAAGACAGGACAGAGACGAGACAAAGACAGGACAGAGACGAGACAAAGACAGGACAGAGACGAGACAAAGACAGGACAGAGAAGACAGAGACAAGACAAATACAGGACAGAGACAGAACAGAGCGGACAGAAACAAAAAGATGAGAGAGACAGAACTGGGACAGAGACTAGACAGATGGGACACAGACAGGGCAGAGACGAGACAAATACAGGACAGAGACGAGACAAAGACAGGACAGAGACGAGACAAAGACAGGACAGAGACAGAACAGAGATGAGAGAGAGAACTGGGACAGAGACAAGACAAAGACTAGACAAAGACAGGACAGAGACGACACAAAGACAGGACAGAGACAGAACAGAGCGGACAGAAACAAAACAAAGATGAGAGAGAGAACTGGGACAGAGACAAGACAAAGACTAGACAAAGACAGGACAGAGTGGACAGAGACGAGACAAAGACGGGACATAGACGACAAAGACAGGACAGAGACAAGACAAAGACAGGACAGAGACGACACAAAGACTAGACAAAGACAGGACAGAGGCGGGACAGAGACGAGACAGAGTTTTAAAACCCAAGTTGGGTAATTGAATTAAACTAAATGATGTAACACAGAAAGTGATATTTTTAAATAAATGTTTTAACCAGCTGTTGTTTGTTGACTCTTTGCATGCGACGCCACGCCCCTCATGGGTCAGCCCCCCCTTAGCCTTTACAGATGTTCACAACACCGTTGAAGCTAAAACAAGCCAGTGTGTGGTTGGCTGCACCAATAGGTGAGGACATTAACAACTTGTCGTATATTAGCGCCTCTCAAGGTAAAAATCCTGAGGCGCCTTTTTTTTACCTTTGATGAAGACAGAAGATGGATGACAGCGGACTAGAAGTACTTTGGGATTTGCAGCCAACAGGCTTTACTGGGTTGGATTAAGCTGGAAGACAGGGACTGGCGGTGAAGGACGTGAGAAGTATTTCTATCACTAATGTATTTCACCCTGGAGGACGTCCACTAGAGCCTCTAAGGCTCCTCCCTCTCCGGTCGGCTCTTGGGTCCCTGGACGAGGCTAACCCGCTCTGCCTCACGCCCTGGATCACACGTTGTACTTCTACTTAAATCAAAAGTAATGATGGGGGTTCGACCACGCCTGTCATGTACTTTGAGATCTACCAGCTTGTAAAAGTTCGTATTTAACACGACTACAAGTCAGAGGTGTGAATTTCACTTGTCCCCCAAGTCGACTTGATTATTGGGTCAACGATTCAATTTGATTTCCCGATGCATCACGATTCTTTCATATTGATTTGTTTTCATCGATAAATACGTTTCAGATAATTGCTTTTTAATGGAAAAACGTGTCTGACACAAGCTGCCATCCCAAGAGCTCTCCATTCACAGCAGGACAACGGGTCAATCTAACCCACAGGAACACGTTTATGTTAGAAATATCTAAATAATAAACCCGTAACGAGTCCTTATTCATGCCACAGCCCACGGCTGTCAGAAATAACAGCAAATGAAACGTTTGACTTGGTTTGTTGTCTGAACCCACGGGTCTCATTTCTGAAACGCTGGAGAACAAAGTTGTTAACGCAGAAAAACCCTTAACTTCCAATAATATCTGAGATGTTTGTTTTATCCTTGCTGGTAAGAAGACCAGCAGGAGGCTGTGGGCTGGATTAGGATTAAATGAGCGCGTTCTTGGTATCAGAATGCACCGGTAAAAGTCAGACACCATGTATGAAATCCATGGCAGGATCAGAAAAGAGCGTTTTTAGACCCGTTGACTTTGTAACGGAACGGAATGACTCTTATTTTTCCCTCCTCTGCTCAGGACTAGTCTGCATGAGATATGGTCTCAAGGTCTCATGCATTCCTTCTAACCTGCTTATTTTCAGCTCAACAGAAGAATGAAGAATGAACTCTTTTCTTTTAATTAATCAAAGAACTCTATTTTAATAAAGCTAATCCATCAAAGTGTTAGTCAATAAATAAGATGTGACCGACCTGTGAAATCAAAATATTACTTTATTATGATCTTATAGAATATAATAAGTAATATGACTTTAAGTGTTCCAACAGGACTCATTTCACGTAGCGTTAAAAGACATAACACATTACTTTCACTGATCCAATCAGAATCTTACAGACGGAGGCGTGGTTTTGATGGTGTTTGGTAATTTTCATTCGACCATAAACCGTAACATCTGAAGTATAAAACTTCGCCACGTCATCTCTAACACCAGTTCAGAGAATGTGACGGAGTGGCCAATCCTGATCTAAACTCTTTAACCGGAAGAACCAACGACAAGCTGAAAAAATCCAGTCGCTACACCAACCAGCGGCAACAGCTCCTTTCAGAACAAAAGCTCCATCCACCGACCCAGGCTTGGGTCTAACCAGACGCCAATAACGTGTCGTGTGCCCGGAAGTAACTCAAGACGGGTTTGATCGGAACCACGGCTTTTCCTACCGGCCCGGTTCCAGAGAGGGTTCACTGGACCTCGATATTCCTGATCTACAGAAGACTTCCACCGAAGGGTAGGTAGACCGGCAAATGGTGTCTCATGTGTTTCTGAACTCCCGAACCAAAGCTTAACGCAAAACAACACCTTCAGTTCCCGTCAGAACAATCGCTTCTTCGGATTTGCTGGTTCTGATTTACATCACACGTCATCCATTCACCGCCTCATCCATTTTTAGTTGCACTACACATTTAGTTTTGAAGTCAGTCTAGTTTAATTTATTAGTAATAAAATTGTTAACTTTTAAACTTGACTCTCTCTCTTCTGTTGTCTCTGAGTGAATACGTAGCGGTTATCTAATCCCTGCAATAAAAAGATCCAATGTTCTGGTTTAAATAACCCTGCGATCCGTAAGGTGGATTTCATATTTCCTATGGAATCCCACGCCTTATGGATCATTAATTAAATGCATTTCCCATTCATTACAACTTGCATTCATTTGTTCGTCCTTCCGCGGACCTGCGGTCCAGAAGCAGACGGGCGGGACTTCGGCTCCCTGTGCTGTATTAGTAGATACTAATAATATCGATGCGATGTAGGATTAAATGTGTTAAAATCACCTATTCAGCGTGATTAGCTGCAGCATCATGAGCTATCCTGTCTCGCCCGGGTGTGTTAGCAGCATCTGATGACCCCACCGACACAAACGGGTACAGATTAGGACTTTTGTGTTTTTTTAAATCAGCTCCAGTGAAACGTTGTTTATCACATAATGTTAGAAATCCAGTGAATTCTGGCAGTCAGGCTAAAGTGGTCAAACAAAGCCACTTTCCCTGTCAGTTCAGTACTCCTAGCTCACCATCGCCCCACCTAGGTGTGCTAGCCAAACTGGGGCTCAGCTAGTTGGTCATGCTAAATATCGCAAATAACAACGACAACAAATACTCTCTCACAGGTGCAATCTTTTCCTTTGTTCTGCACTAGTGTTGCTCACGGTTTACCTTGTTTTGCCATCGGACATGCTGGACCCAAGTCATCTGCTGACGCAGGTGAAACGAGCCAATCTTTGGTGGTTTATGTTATGAGAAAGCTGGAGCGTGAGGTCGACAGGCAGATTGGTGCTGCGTCTGCAGTGATGCGGGCGTTGTACCGCTCTGTCGTGGTGAAGAGAGAGCTGAGCCGGGGGGGAAGCTCTGGATTTACCGGTGGATCTACGGTCTTACCCTCACCTATGGTCACGAGCTTTGGGTAGTGACCGAAAGACGAGATCGCAGATACAAGCGGCTGAAATGAGTTTTCTCCGCAGGGTGTCTGCGGAGAGGGAAGTCTGGGCCTCTCTGCTTCGGCTGCTGCCCCCGCGGCCCGACCCCCGATGGGCGGATGGTAACGGATGGATGTTTATTGTTTACTAACAGATCCTGAATCCTGCCATGTTTACCTTTCCTCTTCAGTGGCCGGAGGGCAGACCATCTCACTGTGGTGCTGACAGTAGGTCTGTTGGACACCAACACAAACCTCAGAAGACATATTCACTCAGAACCCTTCAGCATAAAAGCATCTGTTTGAGTTTGAATGGACCTGAACCTCCGTGTGGGACTGGGGGAGGAGTTGGGCGTGACGCCACTGTCCTGCGATGGAGACCACTGGAGATAAGAACACAGGAAAGGTTCAGACTGAACATCTAGATACTGGGCTCAGAGCTTCTAATGGTCAGGGTTTGGGTCCAGTTCTGACTCGACCCAAACGCACAGAGAACCTTTCTGATCAGGATTTCGCCATCAGTACCTCTGTCTAGAACCTACTGGTCCAGTAATGGTTTAGACTCGTTTTCGGATCAGTGGACCACTGAAGCAGGACTACTAAACTCTGTTCTGGTCTAAGATCTGGATGATCCAGTCACACCAGAACCAGATAAGGTGTCCATACCACCCATGGGCCTCAGCAGCATCAGGAAGGATCAGGTTTACAGGAAACACCTTCAAGATAAGAGCGCAAGAGCTCACCGAGGTGGCGTGGTCATGCCACTGACTGCCCAGAACTGGAACCAGACAGGTGGGACTGCGAGGCACAAAGAGAGCAGAGGTCAAATGTCACAGGTGAGTCTCAGTCAAATGAAAGGTGAAGACGTGGTTGTTACCTGAGCCTCTGCTGACTCCCTCTAAGTGTGGTTTCCATCTTCTCCTCCTGTTTCACACAAACAGCTGATTACTACTTCTGTCCCCGTTAACGGAAACGTCCCGTTATAACTGTCCTTCAGATACGTTAACGCATCACGCTGCAGTGTGATGTCACTCTGTTCATTAAGACGATTCTTCAGCACAAATATCCGACTGAAGCAGGTGCACAGGAGGCAAATAATCCACACCGACAGTTGGTTCCGACTCACCGGTCTCTTTGGGTTGGATCCGCTCAGAGAAAATGGAGACGATGGGATGAGCTGCAGGAGGAACAGAGAGGTAGTGTCTACATTGCTACTGAAGGAGGTTCAGCTCTGAGCGGAACCGGTACTCACCTGAGACGGGTTGATGGACACACTGCTCCGTCTAAAACGCGTCGATGAGACAGAACTGAAGATGGCTGTCCCGTCACTGAGGAACAAAATAGATGTCAAGCATCAAGTGGACCTGAGTAAATGAACCTGTTTTATACACATTATCTAAAACCAAAAAAAAAAAAAGATTTGAAAAGTGGTTTGTGCTCACTAGTTCATCTCCTGTAATTGTATCTTCCTGTTGAAGAATGTTCGCCATTGAGAAACAAAATAATATATAACACGCGCGCGCGCACACACACACACACACACACACACACACACACACACACACACACGGGATCCTGAGGACTCGTGAGGGTGTAGTACCACTCACCTGACGCCAGTAATCATGGGGGCGCTGTTTGACCTCCGGAGAGCCCCGCCTGCTGCGCCTGCGCATTGGTCCACTTCCATCCGTTCCATCCTTTGGTCCGCAAGCCAGCGGAGAGCGGCGCTACCAGCCGATATCTGACCTCCCTATGGCGGCTACGGGTTGTAATCGAGCTCGGTGAAAGCCCGACCCGCAGGCCTCACTATCTGGAGATCCAGAGCCGCCGAGTCAGCGGACCGTAGTCTGAAAAGACCTCGTTTTTATCGCATTTTCTGGCCAACAACTCACCGAATCTGTTGATATTCTCGGGTGGAAGTGGCACGTATCCCGTTAGACACGCGACACCCCCTCCTCCTCCGCTTCCAACAAACACAAAGAAACCAAATCGAGATAAAATGTAAACCTGACGCAAAAACACCCGCTCTAAGAACGAGTCATCGAGTAAATTCCACCTCCAGTCGGTTCTTTAGTCTCCGCTTTAAAAGTTCAACTTCACACAGGTGACGCTACTTTAGAGTTAGCTCAACAGCTAACTTGTTTTGCTGTAAAACCTCCAGCCAGACTCCAGAAAACCGCTAAACAGTTGTCCGAACCCAGTCCGCGAGCCGGGAAGAGCTCCTCTCGCTCCCAAACTACAAAGCCGACCTCTGGCAGCAAAAGTCAGTAAAAATCTTAAGTTTTAAAGATTTTTTACAACATAGTCGTTAAACAAATAGTTAGTGGTCCAACCGTGGAAACGGCGCCACTCGCTGTCTGCAGCAGGAACTGCAGCATAGAGAACAAACGCAGAGAGGGAGGCTTCCGTCTACATCAGCTGTTGGCTTCGGACCCGGAGACCGCATAATCAGGCCGACCGCAGGTTCAGGCTCGTATTGTGTTTGAGACAGCGCCCTCTAAAGGATGAGTTTTTAACTGCAACTATAGATTCAAAACATTCCTTACATGTAACGTTTCATTAGAAATGAAAAAAATCAGAATTTTATTAAAGCAACATAAAATTATTTAATTGCTAGGGAAGCTTTACATCAAACTATTAAATAATTGGCCAGTCTAATATCTTTTTGTGTCTTACTTCACACACACACACACACACACACACACACACACACACACACACACACACACACACACACACACACACACACACACACACACACACACACACACAGCTCCTCTAGCCAATGTGGGACAGAAATATCAGCGCATTTCTGCAGCCATCAGGATTTGAATGTGCTGGAGGAGCAGCCAGACCCTTATTTTCCACTGGGATCAATAAAGTTTAACTTAATTCATCTTTGAGACAAAATGTAAATAAAAAGCAAACTGTGGACCACTGAGATGACCCTAACCCTTTACACACGCTCATGTTATAAACTTTATTTAAACCCAGCAGATGTTCTACTGTTGTTTATCATTTGGATGGTCCTGGTAGGCTGTGTGTGTGTGTGTGTGTGTGTGTGGGGGGGGGGGGGGTATCTGCAGAGAATAGCACAAAGTTAAAGGTTAAAGCACTTTTCTTTAACATGTATAGTTATAACAGTGTGAACTGTAACGTTCAGCATTAAACACAGTTTAGTTTATGTTCACAATCACAAAAGTAGAAGCCCTTCTGGTTGGAGGAAGCTCGTTCCCCAGCTTCAGGCCAGCCACTGAAAAGACTCCATCCCTTCTGGTCTTCAGACGCGGTCTAGGGACTGAAAGCAGCAGAAGATTCTCAGAACCAAGTGTCCGAGTCAGGGCATGTGGGCCTAATAGGGCGGTGCCAGTTACACCCACCCACAAGCCCGGGGTTACTTTACAGCCAGCTGTGTCTCCTGTTTCATGCAAGTTTCCAGACCAGCCCTCACTTTGTGATTCTGCTGAACTTTATGTAAGAAAGAAAGAAAACAATACAGCGCCTCCAAAGATACACATCCCGAGGCGCTTCACAAAAGCAAAACAACATATAAAATAGATTTTTAATGATTAAAAATATGGTTGAAATGAGAAAACAAGCAGTGATTAAAAATGTAAGGTTAGCGTTAAGAAGGAAAGTAAGGAAAGGGAGAGAGGAAATGAAAAGGAAAGAGGTAATCGGTGGATCCCGGGAAAGGCCGGAATTATAAATATGAAATAATCTAGTCGCTTAACGGGCGGGAGCAGATCTCACGTATAAAACATTTTCTAGATTTGACAAAAAAATAATCAGTTCATTGTTTTCACATGAAAAAAACTGATGTTAATCTGCACCTAAAACATGATGCTGTTCATTTCTGTAATCTGATATTTCGCAAAACTAAACGTGAGTGACCAGTGTTCCGCTTTTCAAAATAAGAGCCTAGATCTGTGATGCATTTAATAATATTTAATATTGCCTTTAGATGTTTGCAGGTGCGGCAAAGCTTCCTGTCGAACAGGCGGTGAGACTCCATTCCTCCTCGCGGCTCCGCCGGGCGAAGCATTGAGGGGGAGAAAGAAGAGCACGGAGAGCGTCCTCCAAACAGAGCTCTGCAGAAATACTCTAAACAACATCTGAACGTGCTTCCCTGAAAGGGTGGAAGTCTCTGAAGCGAGCTGGACCGCGGAGGGACATGCTGCGGTCCAGAGCCGACCGGATGTTCCTGCTGCTGGTGAACAAGCTGTGGCCGAGAGGAGATTAAGATTAGTTTAAATCTGGAATTAGACCACAGAAAGGTTTTAATCTCATTCTCATTTTTCAGATCTACTACGATTTTAAATCAACTAGGAAAGGTCAGTGGATTCAGAATGAAACATTTGCCAAAGTGAGTTCAGGTCCCCATCATGTTCTAAACTCCCGATCTGGATCCCGGAGCAAGCTGCCAGCTCCGGGGAAGGCCTGAGCCTCACATAAATAGATGTTCGGCCATTTTGACTTTCTTTGTGTTTGGATGTTGGGTGACCTGGAGGGCCGGTACCCAGCACGTTTTAGTGGTTTCTCTTCTTCAACACACTGGATTCAGTTGTTGGATCACCTGCAGCAGCTCATCAGGTTCTGCAGAAGCCTGTTGATCACCTGCTGATTGAAATCAGGTGTGTTGAAGCAGGTTAGAACTAAAACGTGCTGGATACCAACCCTCCAGAGCAGGGGCCTCATTTACCAAGCTTGCTTACACACAAAACGGGGTCGGAAAACTGCGTAAGCAACTTTCCACGCAAAATTTGGGATTTATGAAAGAAAACTTAGCGGAAAAATGTGCGCAGGACCTGGCTTACGCACATGTTGGACATGGAGAGCACCTGCAGTGCTGCTGCTGAGAAGATAAAATTATGAAATCCTGCAGCATTATCACTTGTACTGCTTTGTTTTCACACACACACACACACACACACACACACACACACACACACACACACACACACACACACACACACACACACACACACACACACACACACACACACACACACACACAGCCTGAAGCGCAGAATACAAGATATCAGCAGGGGGACAGATGAATGTCATGTGTCTGTGTGACGGTGTGTGTCCTGTCACTGTGACCTGATTGATCATGCGCCCTGGCTACTTGGACAAGGGAGATCTCTGTTTGGGTGACTGGTTTGCACGTGTGACTTTCACTCGGGGGTATGGAGATCAAATCCCTATCAGATTGGCGGAGCGCTGCAACAGCTGGCTTATGTGTATGCATGAGGTCCACAAGGCACTTTGCATTGACTATTTATGGCAGTAAGTGGGCGTGGTGAGGGCGGGATGTGACTAAAAAGCAGCTGAGAACCTTGCTAGATAGTTTCTGATTTATGAAGCGGAGATTGCGTGCAACTGTGCGTGCTCCATGTTTGATAGATCACAAACCTACTTGGCGTAAGTACTTTTTTTATTCTGAGCTTCAGTACGGTTTTAGTAAGGATTCTACGCAATGTTTGATACATGAGACCCCAGGACTTTATTACTCCTGTTGTAGGGTGATAGACAATATCACCCCCTGCTACAGGAACATCTAGCTAGCATGCTAGACCTCCCTCTCTCTCTCTCTCTCTCTCTCTCACACACACACACACACACACACACACACGCACACACACACACGCACACACACACACACACACACACACACACACACACACACACACACACACACACACACGCACACACACACACACCCCTCACCCCCTATCGGGTTCTGTAGCGGTTCTGACTCAGTAAGACTTGATCAATTATTTATAGATAAGCTGAAGATCAGAGGAGAACCTCCAAAAAATGAGACTGGACCTGAGGGTACCAGGATGACACCCAGAACCAGATCAGACCTCAGACCGGGTCAGAAACAAAAGCATGTGGAATTTGAACCAGGAAGTTCTTCATGGTGCTGATAATGGTAGTAATTTGGACCATGTGGTTCCGATCATGAACAAAACAAACTTATTTCTGGTATCGAACCCATCCTTACAAACGGACCTAAATGTACACCCCGAACTAAACGCTTCAGCAGCTGGAACTGACCCGATCCACTGCATGGAGAGATGGGGGGTTCCGGAAAGCTGCGTTAATGATTCAGGAGCTAATGGACCGAGACCAGGTCTTCATCAGCAGAACATTCTGAACCAGACCCGACTGAAAGAATCACTCTGTTAGTCTACCAAAGACGGGTCGGCCCAGAACACGCAGATGTAGATAGATAGACAGATAGACAGATAGATATAGATAGATAGATAGATAGATAGATAGATAGATAGATAGATAGATAGATAGATAGATAGATAGATAGATAGATAGATAGATAGATAGATAGATAGATAGATAGATAGATAGATAGATAGATAACAATGACACCAGATGACCTGGGTGACATTTAACCTGAGGTCTGCCATGGGACCAAGCCGGACCTCCAGCACCAGCCCACTCATCAGTCCTTTGGCTGAGTTGGACCTCCTGAACTCCTCTCGTCCTCCTGTCCCCCCTCCGGTGTCCTGCAGCATTGACGAGTCCTACAAGTACGTCTTTCTGCCCGTCTGCTACTCCCTCACCTTCCTCTTCAGTCTGACCCTGAACTCTGTAGTTCTGGTGAGGTCCTGCCGGTCCAGTGGCAGTGGACGACGCTGGAACACGTCTCTGATCTACATGGTGAACTTGGCCTCCACAGATCTGATGTATGGCTTATCACTGCCCCTCCTGGTTGCCAGCTACGTCCTGAGGGACCGTTGGGTTTTTGGGGACTTCATGTGTCGTCTGGTCCGGTTCCTCTTTTACTTCAACCTCTACTGCTCCATCTTCTTCCTCACTTGCATCTCCGTCCACAGGTAAGATCCTGATGAGAGGCAGGAAGTGACACATTGTTACTGGGGGGATTCAGAACCGGTTTGTCGACCCATTAAAACCTAAAATATGAAATAATAATTATAACAAAATTCCAACTGACTTCTCTATTGTCTGATGGTGGTTTACCAGTTATATAATTATCAGTTTAACTTTATTATGTAAATCTATGACATCAGTACAAAACAAACAAATAAAATTGGTCCTCGCTTCCTGCAGATCCTCCACCAGGAGGCAGTAGACATGTATGGGACTGGAGATGGCAGGGTTCTGAAGAAGGTACTAATCCAGACACTCCATCTGCTGGTTTGTTGGTCTACAGGGGTCACTTTGGTTCCCTGTGAATTCAGTCAGGAGCATGGGTTTGGGCCCCCAGAGAGCTGATGGTTCTGGTTCTCCAATTCTGTTCCTCTGAGCTGCTTCTGGTGTGAGAAGAAAACACTGGGGTGGGCCGAAATAACTCCTCATGTGTTCTTAATTTATGTACAAACAGCTCGTCTATATTTCTGGTATCGTTAATCGTTGACAGTCTTGACCTTTGACCTGCTCACAGGGCAGCAGCCCAGAAAGAGTCTACGTGATGAAGTCTAGTTTTACAGCTGGACCAGAACTGATTTTCTTACCGAATTCTGGAGAGCAACGTGAACTATTGACCTGTTCAGCCTAGACCTACACAGCCTAGACCTGTTCAGTCTAGACCTACACAACCTAGACCTTTTCAGCCTAGACCTACTCAGTCTAGACCTGTTCAGTCTAGACCTACACAGCCTAGACCTTTTCAGCCTAGACCTACACAGCCTAGACCTGTACAGTCTAGACCCACACAGCCTAGACCTACACAGCCTATGTTCAGCCTAAACCAACACAGTCTAGACCTGTTCAGTCTAGACCTACACAGCCTAGACCTTTACAGTCTACACCCACATAGCCTAGACCTGTTCAACCTAGACCTAATCAGCCTAGACCTTCACAGCCTTGACCTACACATTCTAGACCTGTTCAGTCTAGACCTACACAGCCTAGACCTTTTCAACCTAGACCTACACAGCCTAGACCTACATAGTCTAGACCTGTTCAGCCTAGACCTACACAGCCTAGACCTGTTCAGTCTAAACCTACAGAGTCTAGACCTGTTCAGCCTAAACATACACAGCCTAGACCTACACAGCCTAGACCTGTTCAGCCTAGAGCTACACAGTCTAGACCTGTTCAGCCTAGACCTATACAGCCTAGACCTGTTCAGCCTAGACCTATACAGCCTAGACCTGTTCAGCCTAGACCTACACAGCCTAGACTTGCTCAGTCTAGACCTACCCAGCCTTGACCTGCTCAGCTTAGACCAACACAGGCTAGACCCGTTCCGCTTACAGCTGTTCAGCCTAGGCCAGTGGTTCCCAAACTTATTTAGCCGTGCACCCCCTTCTATGTCCCGACCATGTTGACGCACCCCCCAGCCCCCACATCAGGGCATGGCTATATATATATATATATATATATATATATATATATATATATATATATATATATATATATATATATATATCAGACGTCACGCTAAACCAGGGGTCGGCAACCTGTTCCCATCAAAGAGCCATTATTACCCGTTTCCCACAGTAAAGAAAACACTGCAGCAGCCGCGGCGTTGTGGGCGGGGGCTACCCTCAGACAGCAGAGCGCTGCTCACAACAGGTGACAGCAGCCAGTACCGGTCGCTCGTGTACATCAAAGTTATCTTTCATAAGACGATAATCAATAAAACGATTTATATAGAGTGGATCCAGAAGTTGTAGCCCGTCTCTGCCTACAATATTTTGATATTTTTCACCCTGTTGGTGGTTTTACTGAGCAGGTGCCACTTTTGTCATACGTTTCTTTTTAAAACATGTTTAGACTGTTCAGAATACAAATCCAGGCTCTGTCACGTTTGATTGTTGTAATTAAACTTTGTAGGTGGGGAAGGTCAGAAAAGGATCCGATCATTTTGTTTTTCCCTCATTTACAGTGACGGAGATAACGGCGCGGTGCGCCTGGCTCTGGTTTTAATCAAGTTTAATTTTTATCTCTTTGCAACAATTTTCACAAGAAAACAAAACACTTAAAAGCAGGGCTTGTGTTGACCGGACAGTTTCCCGTGTTTGGCCGTTTATTTTGACGGAGAAAGAATAGAAAGGATTACCCCGATGCATGCAGACGAACTGACACTGTATTCTACGCAAATCACAGCTGTAGCTAAATCACTCAAGAAAAGATTTCCTTTTGAACAACTGAGCTGGACACTTCTCAGCGCAGCTCACTGTCAGCACGTACATAAGGTGCACAGCGAGCTGAAGATGTGGAGAGGGGCTTGAAGCGCGTCGCAGAACCAGGGCGCATGCAGGAAGATTCCTTCCACTGAAGCGAGAGTTTTCCAAACCCGGTCTCTCAGAGAGACTTGTCACTTAGAAAATGTTCCCTGATGATGAAACTTTGGCTGAATTGTGCTTGTTCCTGTCTCCAATGTGGCGTCTGAGGAGAGTCCCAGAATCTCACATCGTCTTCAGCTCTGAAAGCGCCTATGATTACGCACAAGCGTGATGCGTCAACCCGGTCTCACAGTAAGACCAGGTTGGAACTGTTCAGGTTTACGCAGACAATCTTTACATTTAGAATTAACATACAGATGTAAAATTAATGCAGTAAAATATAAAGCATTTTATTTAAATATCCATTCATTATTTTACAAGCACAGAGAGCCGAATCAGATGGATGGAAGAGCCGCATGCGTCTCCAGAGCCGCGGATTGCCGACCCCTGAGCTAGGGCATGTGCGGAGAACACACACACACACACACACACACACACACACACACACACACACACACACACACACACACACACACACACACACACACACACACACACACACACACACACACACACACACACACACACACACACTGACTGTTGATGCTCTGTTTTTATTTCTGCAGTGAGCCTTAAAAACTCGCCTCACCGCCCGGAGTTAGTTCTGTAGACTATTGAATCCATCGTGCTGATACATTTTAACGAGGGTCCTCCGTGCCATGTTTGGCTGCAGGATTTAAAGTAACATCACGGAGAAAGAACCGTGGCCTCGATGAGGTTAAAACCTGGATGTGTGCAAATGTTTTACACTTCAATAACAACCAGCCCGAGGTCATGCTTTTAGTCCCAGTGTGTCCAGTAGGCTGTGTAGCTGACCTTGGTCCACTGATCCCGTTTCTGAAACCTGCAGCGACCCATCTTACTTTTCAACAAACAAATCAGCGCGGTAACAAAAGCTGGTTTTTACCATTTAAGGAGGATTGCCAAGGTTAACCTTCTGCTCTCAATTTGTGACTGTGAGACAGTGATTCACACGTTCATTACATCACGCCTTGACTACTGTAACTCACTGTACCTTGGTGTCCCTCAGTGTCACCTCTCCCATCTTCAAATGGTGAAAAATGCAGCAGCACACCTACTGATGGATTCCAGGAAGAGGGATCACATCTGGCTTTGCTGCACTGGCTGCCTGTTGATTTTAGGTGCGTTTGTTGGCGTTTACACCCATACCCGCTGTACCTGTGAGCTTTTAGTTGCTCACTCCCCGTCTCGGTCACTGAGGCCACCTGGCCGGCTTCTCCTGGAGGTGCTGACAACGAAGCAGAAGCTCAGGAGCTTTCTCAGTAGCAGCACTAAGGTTGTGGTATACACTGCCAGATCAGGTTTTAAATCCCTTCTTAAGATTCACCTGTTCTCAGGTGCCTTTTATTCAGTGTGAGATTGCATCTGGTTTTAGTCACTTTAAAGTTCTTTTGAATCATTTGTATGTTTTTGGTTTTAATTAATGTTTTTATTTCTTTTATAATGAACCTTTAACTTATTTTCAGCATTATAGGAAATGTCTGTTGTTTTTGCGGTTTTTATTTTGCTTGTTAAGCACTTTGTTCAGCGTTCATGCTGTCTTAAAACGCTGTATAAAGTTGACTTGACTAATCAGATGTTTACATGGGCGTACTATTTCTTTTTCCAAAGTCAATTTTTGTCCCCGGCACTTTTTACCATCCAAAAACGATCTCACTCTATACTAACTAGACACTGGTTCAGCACTAGGACCAAGCAGAAAACAACTGCTTGTGTTGAAGCCTTTTCCCATTAGAACTGTCCATGAGCTCATCTACTGGCTCTGCTGATATTTGCTAACGAGTGATTGGCCTTTCCTGTCACATGTGTACTTGGCACTTCTGCATTCCTGACATTGCATAAAAGAGCCTCTATTCAATTCTATTCCATTTATTTCTGAAGCATCAAATTAGGACCAGTTGTCTCAAGGACCTTCAACCAGTAAACATTCCAGTACAGGTCAGTTCATTAAGCCAATCAGAAAAAAGTTTCCTATATAAGGAACCCAGCAGGTTGCATCGAGTCACTGACTAGTGTCAGAGTCTTTACAGCAATCCTCATACTAAGCAAGCATGAAGCGACAGTGGAGAGGAAAACTCCCTTTTAACAGGAAGAAACCTCCAGAGGATCCTGGCTCAGCAGCCATCCTCCACGACTCACTGGGGATCGAGAACACACACACACACACACACACACCTTATATATCAAGTAGTGTTTCTATGGTTACATTGTGAGTTCTTAGTAAATATTCTATTTGGTGAGAGATAAACTTTATTGTATTTATCCTAGTGAATCTATAATTAAACGGGTAAACTAGTAGTAGCACATCCAACGTCAAAGAGGGTAAAATGTTATTATCAGGAGAGGGAGAATGTTTAAGTGGTTAGCAGCAGTGTGCTAGTCGATGGCCCCCTCCATGAGGCCACCACAGCTCAGCAGAACATTGATGTAGTTTCTTCTCGGGAGAAAAACACTTAGAGAAAAAATAAAGTTAACAGCTGAAATAGCAGGAAATAATACAGTTAAAGAGCAGATTGTAGAAGAAAGTAGTCGAGTGTGGAAAGTGGTCAGTATGTCCTCCAGCAGTCTAAGCCTATAGCAGCATAACTACAGAGATAACTCTGGATAATCTATCCTATTTAGATGGAGGCATGTTGGAGGCAGGGCAAGGGAGAGCCGTCTTTACCGACTGTACACTCCACCTCCCTGTACTCCCCCACTTGTCCAGATCTAGGCTAACATCAGATTTTAACCATAGGCCCTATCAAATAAAAATGTTTTAAGCTTAGTCTTAAAAGTAGACAAGGTGTCTGCCTCACGGACTAAAGCTGGGAGTTGGTTCCACAAGAGAGGAGCCTGATAACTAAAAGATCTGCCTCCAATCCTATTTTTAGAAATTCTGGGAACCACCAGTAGACCTGCAGTCTGAGAGCGAAGTGCTCGGTTAGGAACACATGGAACAATCAGGTCATGGATGTGTGATGGAGCTTTATATGTGAGAAGAAGGATCTTAAAATCTATTCTGAATTTAACAGGTAGCCAATGTAGGGAAGCTAAGACAGGAGAGATATGATCTCTTTTTAATTCTCATCAGAACTCTAGCTACAGCATTTTGGACAAGCTGAAGACTTTTAACTGCATTCTGTGGACTTCCTGAGAGTAATGAATTACAGTAATCCAGTCTTGATGTAATAAATGCATGAACTAGTTTTTCAGCATCACTCCTGGAAAGGATGCTTCTAATCTTAGCAATATTCCGAAGGTGGAAAAAGGAAATCCTACAAACCTGTTTAATGTAGGACTTGAATGACATGTCCTCTAGGCTGTAGTTTTATACATATTTTTGTATACTCACTGTAAATACCCCCATGGTACTCATGCCAGTTGTGTCCCCCCACTTCTAAAGTCAAAACTACGTCCATGGATGTTTATGATTTTCTCACTAAAAAAGGATGCAGACTCATTACACCAAGTTTGGGACATGGAATCAGGGCTTAACAGTGTTGGGAGATAAGCTAATCTCTCAATTTCCAAACAGAACACGGGAGTTGTTAATATTATCACTAATGACTTTGGAGAAAAAGCTCGTCTCCCTTATTTAAGTCAGAGCTGTAAGTGTGCAGTTGCATTTAGGTTTCGTAGTGATCTGGTAGGTTACCTTTTCTGAATTAACGCTCAGCTTTCCTGCATTCTCTTTTCTGATCTGTGACAGATTTAGTGAATCTCCGTGGAGCTTTTTATTTGCCAGATATAAGTTTGATCTTTCGAGTGCAATGGTGTCAAGGACTCAGATGGAATGATTTAAAGCACAGCTGGTTGTTAGACTTGTTGACTAATTGATGAAATGTTGTTGAAGCGTCTGGTTTTGACTGCTGCCTCGTTTGTCCAGGTATCTGGGGATCTGCCATCCAATGAGGACCATCACTCTGGAGAGCAAGCGACTGGTGAAAGGGACCTGTGCCCTGGTGTGGGTGGTGGTCTTCATACTCACCTGTCCCATCTTCAGGTTTGCCCAAACGGGATGGGTTATGAGAGGAGGCACCGGACCTGCTGGATCTGATGCAGTGAGGTTCAGTGAGAACGGCACTGGGGACCAGTCCGAGGACTGGTATGTGAACTGTTGGGATGACGCCATCGATAAGGAGTTTGCTGAATATGTTCCATATGGCATCGTCCTTCACCTGTTGGGCTTCTTTGTTCCATTTGTCATCATTGCCTGGTGCTACTCTCAGGTGGTCCGGACCATATTCCAGAGCCTGCGCTCTCCGCCCAGCTCAATAGAGGGTGTGGAGGATGGTCCAGTTGGTGACGGAGCTGCAGACGGAGTCCGAGACCGGGAGAGGACTTCTGTCTCCATCTCTGGATCCCAATACTCACACTACATACGGCGTCGACGAAAATCCATCAAAACCATTGTTACTATCACTCTGCTGTTTGCTCTCTGCTTCCTGCCCTTCCATGTGACTCGGACGTTGTTCCTGCTCCTGCGGCGAGGACAGCTAGGTGGCTGCAATGCCATGAAGACCGTCTCCATCTGCTACAAGGTCACAAGGCCGCTGGCTTCCTGCAATGCCTGGCTTAACGCTTTGCTGTACTTCTTGACTGGAGACAAAGGTCCCCCCTGCTGCTGGACAGCAGAACGAACTGTCCATCAAGACAGGCGCAATGGTTCCCTCTGGTGGCCACTGGCAATCCTTAAGAAGGACGGAGCAGGAGAGGACGATCAGGAAGTGGCCGAGAAGGTTGAGAGGGAACTCCACCTGGAGGACGAGTCCAAATCTTCTAGGGTAATCTTCTAGGACATTTGAGAGACCTTTACTTTAGGAAATGAACATAAAACATGTTGATCAGAGCCTCCCAAAGAACTGTGAGTTTCCAACAAAAACACAAAGTCTGAACTCTGGAAAGACCACGCACACACGGTCTACTGCAGATGTTTCTCTCAGTCGATGCCAAATGAGCAAAACTGTAAATATCAGTAGTAGAATAAACCAGGTAACGTCTGAAGAGTTTAACGGACCAAACACTGGCACTGCCCCTCTAGACTGGACTGAATGTCCCAAAGACTCAAAACAGGGTCACAAACCACAAACACCGAGTTCTGAATCACTAAAGTCTAAATGGTTCCTGTCAGAACAAATACATGAGACTTCAATGACGGGTGGAAGCTGCAGCCTATCGGATCATCTCCAAATAGAACTTCCTGTTTCCACAATGACAGGAAGGAGGTCCGATGCTTGACAGGGTTCGAGAACCCTTGGGTAGAGGTGTCATTAAATGTTATTATCAGAGAAACGGAAACATTGCATTAACATTATAATACAAACAACTGGGTGTGTGGGGGGCTGGAATGAAGAATTCATTAAGAAGAAAGTTTGACAAACACCTTCATTTGAATGTTTTTATTAGTTTCACACGTGATCAATAAAGCTTTTCTCCTGAACCTGAAAGTGTTTCAATCTGTAGAATCACCAGAACCAACAGGATGACCAAAACGGGCAGAAATTACATTCCAAACCAACCCGTCGTGAGAGTGAGGAAGAACAGAGTCAGACACCGGCAGCAGGTTCCAGAGCGAGGAGCCAATCCGTCAGTAGGAATTATTACTGGTGAGCAGAACTGTCCAAAAAACTCCGTAGAACCAGGAGCTTGATCGTGATGTTGAGACTCAAACACTGGTTCCTCGGGTCACTTCCTGGAGAAGAGCCGAATTTAAGACGCATGGATCAGCAGGACTTCCTGTTTCAGACATTTGGTCGCTCAGGTTCTGGGGAGTGGATCAGCTCCCACCGGGTGGCGCTGACCAGCTGGTAGTTGTTCCTCCGGTAGTTCACTGGGTGATTCTGTCTCTGACGCCACACCTCCTCGTACAAGCTGCGAACGACTGGTTGCAGCGGCGGGAAGCCTGCCAACTGAGCCAGCGTGTCGCAGTACTCCCACTGACCCTGGTCTAGTTTCAGCAGGTGGCGCCACTGGACCCCCTTCTCCAGTTTCTCCTGCTGCTCCTGCTGGACCTCCTTCTCCATCTGCTCACGCGATGGCAGGGGAACCGAACCATCCAACACAGCCAGAGCAAACTGGACCTGAAGCACACATGAAAGCGTGTACAACCCCCCAACACACACACATACACACACACACACAACTCGGCTGACCTGACAGTTGAAGTTGGGGAAGGGGCAGATGATTTTACAGATCCCGATGAAGAAGAGTGACGGGAATGCGGGAGGAAGCATGAAGCGGTACAGAGGAGACACCATGTGATCCTGGATCTCCAAACCCAGCTGAGCTGCATCCAGGAAGGGGTAGTGGAAGTTGTAGCCGGTGCAGAACATCAGGACGTCAGCCTTGCACACCGAGCCGTCCTGGGTACACACCAAACATGTGTTGCTACAGTGGTGTGGTTTCCAGACAAAACTGGTTTGGGTTTGTACTGATTTGTGAAAATGAAGCCCACCTGGAGGCGGAGACAGCCGGCATTGTCTACCGCCACCACTGAACCGGACTGTTGGATCCCAGGAGGAAGAGGAAAGGTAAGTGGGGGGTAACCGTGACTCAGGGTCACCTGGGGGCAAAAAGGTTTTCAGTTTGGTTTGGACCTTCATGTGATCAGACAGTAAGAGGCACTGAAGACCCTTTCCTGTCACGGTTCTGATCTAAAGCTGGATTTTGAAGCCGACTGTTACCTTGGCGCCGGCCTTCGCCAGTTCAATGGAAATGTCCAGTCCTGAAGACTTGGCTCCCAGAATCACCACAGTCTGGCCAGAGAACGGCTCCGCAAACCGGTATGAGTGACTATGAAGAACCTGACCTGGAAACAGAGGGACCTGAGTGGGTTCAGAGCAATGATACATCCCACCCGTGCATACCCAGGTGCTCGTGTCCGCTCAGTCATTTACATACAGAAACACCCACAATTAACCATATTTGGTCACGCCACGTCCTCAGCTCATGAGTGGCATTACTACCCCCCCCCCAACCCTAACCCCCCATAAAGAGAGCCAAACGTATGGCAGAGGTTATAAACGCAGTTGGGACAGGGGAGCAGTGGGTTGTTGTTTACAGTTTATGTTTAAGGAGATGAATGATGCTCTGTTTGAACTTAGTTTTGTTCTTGTTTGGAAATGTTTGAGTGCAGAGCTGTCAGTTTGGTCACCTTGGCAACATGAGTCTGTTCCAAGGGGCTATTATGGTCTGCAGATTTTGAAGCCAAGAAGAGGCTAAAATTGCAGTTCCACCCTCTTCCACTAGGGGCTGGCATGTTAATAATACAAATTTCACAGCAGAAGCAAACATGTTTACAGGCTGGTGCAAACACCCATTCTAGGTTTAATAGATCTAGTTTACATCCATGACAACTCTGAGGGGGGTGAATGTTTTTGTAACTCCTCTGTTTAAGTGGAATTTAATGCTTAAAAATCTGAATAATTAATGAGCATCAGAGTCACGTGACTTCAGCGCTAGCTCAGAAGAAAAGTCTCGGCCTCACGTTAACAGATATTCGGCCATTTCAACTCTCTGAACTGTAGTTGTGTGTGTGTGTGTGTGTGTGTGTGTGTGTGTGTGTGTGTGTGTGTTTGGATGTTAATCATGGGATTAGTTGGACACAGAGGGGTAGCTGTGGTTACTGACTGCACTAACAGACCATCCAAGCAGTTCCTGTTTCTTTTTATCAGTACGTAAAATTATATTTCTGTGCTTTACGTCGCCTGGGAAAAGTTGCTAGAGCAGGAGGCTGGCTGTTCCCGTTTCCCGGGGCAGCCAGGACTCACGGACCGCTCCGAAGCCAAGCTGTAGTCATGCTGGTCACTTGTGGATCCCTGAGGAAGACCACAGAAACACTGTGGCTCTTTTAGTTGACGCTGCTTCTCTTTTGAATCAACTCGGCTCCCAGCTCCATGTTGTCACAGCACCGGTAGCCGAGTCAACAACGGTGGACTCGCAGATCTTTGACCGCGGTGGACCAGTGAAGCCCGATATCCTCGGTACTAAAATTAACTAGTTTCATTAGAAAATACATATTTTCAGAAAAGGAAGTTGTGCCTTTTCTCCTGCAGCAATGGATTGTGGGTAATATCCTTCACCCAATACCCTTCTCAGATTGAGGAAGAGCAATGTGGTTTTCGTCCTGGCCGTGGAACTGTGGACCAGCTCTATACCCATGCTAGGGTGATGGAGGGGGCATGGGAGTTTGCCCAACCAATCCACATGTGCTTTGTGGATTTGGAGAAGGCTTATGACCGTGTCCCCAGGAGCACCCTGTGGGGGACGCTCCAGGAGTATGGGGTGGGTGGCTTTCTGTTAAGGGCCATTCAGTCCCTTTACCAGAGGAGCGTGAGTTTGGTCCGCATAGCCGGTAGTAAGTCGGACCTGTTCCCGGTGAGGGTTGGACTCCGCCAGGGCTGCCCTTTGTCACCGGTTCTGTTCATCACTTTTATGGACAGAATTTCTAGACGCAGCCGTGGTGTGGAGTGTGTCGAGTTTGGTGGCAGGAGAATGTCGTCTCTGCTTTTTGCGGATGATGTGGTCCTCCTAGCTTCATCCAGCTCTGACCTTCAGCTCTTGCTGGGTAGGTTTGCGGCCGAATGTGAAGCGGCTGGGATGAGAATCAGCACCTCCAAATCTGAGACCATGGTTCTGGACCAGAAAAGGGTGGCTTGCCAACTCCGGGTCGGGAGAGAAGTCCTACCTCAAGTGGAGGAGTTTAAGTATCTCGGGGTCTTGTTCACGAGTGAGGGTAGGAGGGATCGGGAGATCGACAGGTGGATTGGTTCGGCGTCTGCAGTGATGCGGACGCTGAGCCGATCTGTCGTGGCTCTCGATTTACCGGTCGATCTACGTCCCAATTCTCACCTATGGTCATGAGCTTTGGGTAATGACCGAAAGAACGAGATCGTGGATACAAGCGGCCGAAATGAGTTTCCTCCGTAGGGTGGTCGGGCTCAGCCTTAGAGATAGGGTGAGGAGCTCTGACATTCGGGAGGGACTCGGAGTAGAACCGCTGCTCCTCCGGATCGAAAGGAGTCAGTTGAGGTGGTTTGGGCATCTGGTCAGGACGCCTCCCCGGGGAGGTGTTTCGGGCATGTCCTGCCAGCAGGAGGCCCCCGGGTCGACCCAGGACACGTTGGAGAGGTTACATCTTCAATCTGGTCCGGGAACGCCTTGGGGTCCTGCCGGAGGAGCTGGTGGAGGTGGCCGGGGAGAGGACGGTCTGGAGCTCCTTAGTTGGGATGCTGCCCCCGTGACCCGGATAAGCGGAGGAAGACGACGACGACCCCTTCACCCAAGCTGGGTAAAGTGTGGATCAAGGGTGCAAAAGGGGCGTGATCAATTTTCGCATTTGAGAATCAAGACACCCTACACACTTACACCTCTGGTCGGGATCGCGCAATTGAAGGGCACGAGGGTGGAAGTGTGAGTTCTGGGATTGGGCCTGAGACCTTCAGTGTTGTGGTTCCCCCATTCTACCACTAGATGCTGTTCCTCCACATGGTCAGAGCTGCTATGATGTTTAGGATCATTTCTACACACAGGTACAAGAAGGTAAATAAACCAATTACACACGAAGTACACACATTACAAATGAAGTACACACATTACACACATATCTGTGTGTAGCTACATCCGATGAAACCAAACCTTTAAAGTTCTGTATCCCAGGGATGTGTGGGATGTGGGGGTCAGAGTGATGCCTACAAGAGAAGAAACATCCAACAGGTTCATGTCTTGTCTGCAGCGCTTCCGTGCGGTTGCAGGAGGCGGAGTCACCTCACCCAGAGCAGATCAACACCGAGTCAAACGTCTCCGTCTTCTGACAACCTGACAAACATGATGAGGTCACATCCCATGTGGTGTTCTCCTCCCCACTGTCTGTTGTCACGATGACAGGCTTCACCATTTCCACCATGGTGTTGAACTGAACCAAAGGAGTGATTAGAAGCTATGCAGGTACAGTCAAATCTAGGACCTGGACCAACAGGTCACTCACCCGTATGTGAGGATGGATTTTAAAGTTCTCACAGTATCTCTGCAGGTACTGCTGAACCTCCTGGTGTGGCAGAAAGCTGCTCAGCTGGGGCTCAAAGGGGAAGTCAGGAAACATCATAACCTCCTTGGGCAGGTTGGTTCTATTGGGAAATGAAGAGTCCACTGAGAAGTCGGACAAGACTGTAAATAGTTACAGGTGTGATAGGTGAGGGTGCGGCAGAGCCTCGACCATCGTCACAGCCAGGTGGGCCTACCTCAGGTCCCTGTACATGCTGCTGAGCACAGGACGCCCATTGGGGAGCATTCCAACATGCTCTTCGTAACACCAGGTCCCTCCGATGTGGTCAGTGAGCTCAAACACCACCGGGGGGGCGAAGCTGCTGGGGCGGGACAGGATGTGTCGTGCAGCACAGAGTCCAGACGCTCCAGCGCCGACCACCGCCACACGCCGCAGCTTCCTGCAGGTCTGGCCCCGGTCAGAGGGGGGGCACGCTGCACTCACCTGCAGGTTAAAACTCCCATTAGAGGTCAAGTCCTGCAACGAAGAAGCAGAAAACCTAATCCTGTCGCAATAAGAGCTCTCTTGAAAATCAGGTTTTTAGTGTCAACCTTCCTGAATAAATGAAAAAGTAAGAGCATGACCCACAGGAGCGGGTTAAGTGTCTAGCCCAAGGACTAGACAGCAGAATTCTCTATCCGGAGCCGGGATGGAACCTTCAACCTTCTGATTACTGGACAATCGCTCAACCTGTGGAGCTACTGCTGCCCCCGCACCACATACACACACACACACAGCCACACCCCCTTTTCTCCTGTCACTGACACACACAGCCCCCCCCCCACACACACACACACAAGGGAGAAACTGACAGAAAGTAGCAAAATCAAAACTACACAAAACCCCTGAACGTGACGTCACAAACTTTAGACCCTGACCTGTTTGGTTTAATCATCAATGTTTATCAGAACCGGGTCCAGGTTCGACACGTGACCAAGCCCGGGTTGGACTTTAACACCGGAAAACAACAGCCGGTAATTTAACGCGTGACTAATGACGATGCACTTTGTATAAAAGTTCACGAAGAACTAATTGTTTAACACGGTTACACTGCGCATGCTCAAAGGTGAACGGAACTCTGCGGCTGCTAGTCTGATATGTATATAAACACACACATGTATGTACATATATATATGTACATATGTTTATATACATATCTATGGTCTCATGAACAACACATGAACTTTGACCCCGGCCTACATGAATGAACGACTCAGTTAAACTCCATAAAACTTAAGTTTACCGAATTCATGACCGGCCGTTTGTCCTCCCGCCGTCCAGCTGCGTAACGGAATAAAAAACGCTAAGCAAAGAGGTTTCTACCGGCAGGACATATTCCGTTACAACATCGGCCTAACGACACCAGTCAGAACAGGCCAGAACACCGTTTTATAGCCGCTCTCCCTGCTGCGTCCATCTCTCCATTTCTGCAGACTCGAAGCTTGTATTGTTTTCGAGACAGCGCCCTCTAAAGGATGAGTGTATAAATGCAACTGTAGATTCAAAACAAGCCTTTAAATCACGCTACATATTACACGTTACATGTGTACCTTTTTATTAACAGTTAGAAATGTCAGAATTCTATTAAAGCAGCATAAATTATTTAATTGCTGGTGAAGCTTTACATGAAACTTATTTCTCCATAAAACTTTTCTTGAACATGCATTGTTATGACAGTGTGAACTGTAACGTTCTGCAGCACAGTTTAATTACAGTAATAACATTACTATCTGAACAGAGCTCCTTTATTTAACGTTACCTTTGTGTAATAAAAATGGCCTTTAGCCTAAAGTAACGAGTTTACTTCTTTCAGAAAATAAGAACTATTTATACTTTTATGATAAAGTTGGCCTGTAACCTTTTCTTTCATACATAATTTATTTAATACTTTGTGGCAAATGGAGAAACACGGCCCAGGGCGGGATTTGATCCCCATATTACCGGGTGAGAGTCATGCGTGCTAACTAGTCAGCCTTTGGCTGACAGGATCTCGTCACAGAGGTACCGTGATGAGATCCTGAGGCCCATTGTTGTGCCGTTCATCCACGACCATCACCTCATGTTGCAGCATGATAACGCATGGCTCCACATTACAAGGATCTGGACATGATTCCTGGAAGATGAAAACATCCCAGCTCTTGCATGGCCAGCATCATCACCAGACATGTCACCCATTGAGCATGTTTGGGATGCTATGGATCAGCACATACGACAGCGTGTTCCAGTTCCTGCCAATATTCAGCAACTTCACACAGCTATTGAAGAGGAGTGGGCCAACGTTCCACAAGCCACATTTAACCTTCTTCTTCTTCTTTGTGGGAATCCAGCAGCTTAGATGCCTTATAGGCATATTGCTGCCTTCGCAACGTCACACGCTACAGCTACGCCTACCTGCTATATCCTGTCATACGCTCCCACTGTGCGCAAGTCAACAGCTTCATACGTTGTTTATCCCGAGCCTCCAACAACGTCTGGACACTGAACACTTCCATCCCACACTGCCCCAACATCCCAAACAGGACTCGCCACTCATCCTCGTACCTGCAGCAGCTCAGCAATACATAGGAGACCGTTTCCGGTTTCCCACAAACACATCTCCCATGTGGGTGTTTGCCCACCAGGAACAGGCCACATCCCTGTCCACAATGTCCCAGAACCCAAATGAACCCCACAACACTGCCCTGTTTCTGCAGTTCACAGAGCAACCGGCGTATGGAGACTAGCAGATTTGGCCTAGAGCCCAATCTCATACCTGCCAGCGCTCTCAACGCTGCCGCCGAGTCAGAGCACACGACCGCCATCATTGGCCCATGTTCCCCTACCCACCTTAAGGCGCACAGTATAGCCACCACTTCCGCTGTGACTGAACCGTGGTCATGTAGCCAGCTACCAAACACGTGCCCCAAGCTAGGAATCACAAATCCCACCGTAGCCCTGCCACTCTCAGGGTGCCTTGAGCCATCCGTGTATAACGGCACACACAAGGACCATCCTGTCTTCAAGTACTCCACTACCTCCTCCACCTGACCTCTCCCCCTGCCCTGCCCTGAGAGTCATATCCACCCCTGGGTTGGGCGGCTACCAGTGCGGAACATCTGACCTGACCAAATGTGAAACCGCTGGCCAGCCCAGGAGACCCAACCTACCCACGTCCCCTGAGCCTTTCCAAAAAGCCTCCCTGCCCTTTCCCGCCGCCTAACTCCCACTGCTCCTCCAGCAAACCCAGCGCCACAGCCTCATCCCCCATACGCAGCACCCTTATAAGGTATTGTAGCCCCAGCTTGACCCGACGATACAGGGGCATCTCTCCCACCTCCACCTGAAGTGCCGGCACAGAGGTTGTACAAAAGGCCCCGCTACTAACTCTCAATTCAGCTGCCTGCACCATATCCAGCCTCCGCAAGGTCGAGGGGGCTGCGGAGCCATACACAAAGCATCCATAATCCAGGATTGAGCGCACCATACCCCTGTAAACCATCAGCAGCATGGACCTATCGGCTCCCCAGTCCGGCCCAGCCAAACACCGCATGACATGCAGCACCTTAGTGCACTTGTTCACTAGATTTGTCACATGAACCCTCCATGTCAACTGTTCATCCATCCACATACCTACTTATACGAGGCGACCCTCACAATCAACTCTATGTGACAGATGTGTTGTTCTGCGTGAGGCAAATGGTGGCCACACCAGATACTGACTGGTTTTCTGCCTTACCACCCCCATAACGAATAGCTGTGCACATGTCAGGGTGTCCTTTTATTGTGGGCAGTCTAAGGCACACCTGTACATTATTCATGCTGTCATCAGCCCCTTGATATGCCACACCTGTGAGGTGGGATGGATGATCTTGGTAAGGGAGAAGTGCTCACTAACACACATGTACACATTTCAGAACAACATCTGAGAGTCATGGGTGTTTGGTGTATGTAGACACATTTTCAGATGCTTGAGTTCAGATCATTAAAAATGGGAGCAAAAGCAAAAGAGATGCATTCATACTTTTGTTCAGTGTATTATATATATATATATATATATACACACACACACACACACACACTGGGGTAGGTAGCTTGTCTTATCAGATTATTCTGTACATCCAGCTGTTAACTTCTTTTGCAGTGAGGCCAATTCCACCTTACTGGAATCAATAACTGCAGCTGATATTTCCAGTGAAGTATTTATTTACTTTAAAAATATAAAACAAACTTATTTTAAATGATTTATTTAAAAAGAAGAGCTGTAATGTCACCAGACAGAAATAAATATATACTGCTTCTGTGAATTAGTCAGAACAAACGTGGACCATCTAAATTTTTGATACGTTTGGATTTTTGCTTTAGTCCTGAATGTAACTCCTGAGGAGAAACACCTCAGTGGAAGAGTTTATTTACAGCAGGAAGCAGGATCTCTTCATCACTTGGCAGTGGTGTTCCCGTGTAGAGGCGGTTGTTGAGGAGGCTGTTGCTGCTCGGCGAGCGCCTGCTGCAGCCGCGTCCGTTTACGGGAGTAATGCTGCCAGTGCAGAAGCTGCTGCTCATCGATGAACTTGGCACACTGAGCGTTAACCAGCTCCTTCCTGAAATGTTCATACTGCAGCAGCTCTAGCATGTGGAGGCAGTGAGGATACCTGAGGCAAGGTGGAGGGGGTGGAGTTAGACATATGGACTCAAATGACATCACAAAACAATGTAATTAATTAAAATATTAAACAACTACAATCTGCTTTGCAACCATGTTCTTATTGTGTTGTTCCCTTGGAAAGGTAAAGTCACATTTTAAAACGTGGGCAAAACAAAAACACGGGTACACTGGCATGTACATACATACACCATCATTATGTTTACAATAATAATTATTAATTATCGCACTAGATAAGAGCCATGCGGACTCTTGTATCACTGCATGCCTGAAGGACGTAAAGGGTTGGCTAGCTGCCAATTACCACAAACTAAACAAGTTTAAATCAGAGTCCATCGGGTTCAACCCTAGAAATCACTCTGGCTCAGTCTGACTTCGACCTAATTTTTAACCCCAAACTGTGTCTGACAAGTCTTGAAGTAAAATTAGATGATGACCTATCGATGGTTCCTCAGATAAATTCAGCTGTAAGGTCTTGCTTTCATCAGCTACGTCGTCTTAGACCAATTTTAAAGCAATGGCATTTGGAATCGGGTTTACAAGCTTTTATAACCTCTCGTCTTGACTACGCGAATGCCTTCCTTATTGGAGCTCCTAGCTCAGCTCTAAATTGTCTACAGATAGTCCAGAATGCTGCTGCTAGATTCCTCACGAAAACAAACAGACGTAGCCATATTACTCCAGTCTTGGAACATCTCCATTGGCTTCCGGTAGCGTTCCGGGTACAATTTAATATTCTGACCTTTTTGCACAAGGCTTTAAATTACTTAGCACCTGTTAATCTCTCTGAGCTGATCACCCCCTATATTCCAAAGTGCTCACTGAGGTCAGCAGATCACATCCTCGGGTGGTCCCGAAGACAAAAACGTGGGAATGGGAGGAGTTTGGTGAGACCATGGAGCAAGACTTCCACATGGCTTTGAGGAGATTCCGGTCCACCATCCGGTGTCTCAGGAGGGGAAAGCAGTATGCTACTAATACGGTTTATAGTAGGGACGGTGTGCTGCTGACCTCAACTCAGGATGTTGTGAATCGGTGGGCGGAGTACTTCAAAGACCTCCTCAATCCCACCGGCACGTCTTCCAGTGAGGAAGCAGAGTATGGGGACTTTGGGTTGGACTCCCCCATCTGAGGTCACTGAGATGGTCAAAAATCTTCTCAATGGCAAGGCCCAGAGGATGAATGGGATCTGTTCAGAGTTCCTTAAGGCTCTGGATGTTGTGGGGCTGTTGGTTGATGCTGCTCTGCAGTATTGCGTGGACAATGGGTGAAGTTCCACTGAATTGGCAGACTGGGGGGTTGGTCCCCCTATTTAAAAAGCTGCAGAGTGTGTTCCAACTACAGGGGGATCACACTTCTGAGCCTCTTTGGTAAGGTCCATTCAGGGGTTCTGGAAAGGAGGGTCCGCCGGATTGTCGAACCTCGGATTCAGGAGTTACAAAGTGGTTCTCGTCCTGGCTGTGGAACACTGGACCAGCTCTAAAACCTTAGGGGGATCCTGGAGGGTGCGTGGGAGTTTGCCCAACCAATCTACATGTGTTTTGTAGATTTAGAGAAGGCGTTTAACTGTGTCCCCCAGGTGGCCTGGTACCCTGACCCTCCGGGTGTATGGGGTACCAGACCCTTTGATACGAGCTGATAGGTCCATGTATGACCGGTGTCAAAGCTTGGTTTGCATTGCCGGCAGTAAGTCAAGCTCATTTCTGGTGAGAGTTGGACTCTGCCAAGCTTCCCCTTTTCATCGATTCCATTAATAACCTTTATGGACAGGATTTCTAGGTGCAGCAGAGGTATTGATGGGATCCATTTTGGTGGCCAAAGGATCAGGTCTCTGCTTTTTGCAGATGATGTGGTCCTGTTGGCTCCGTTAGACAGTGATCTCCAGGTTTAGCTGGAACGGTTCACAGAGTGTGAAGCGGCTGGGATGAGTATCCACTCCTCTAAATCCGAGACCATGGTCTTCAGTTGGAAAAGGGTAGGATGCCATCTCCGGGTCAGGGATGAGGTCCTGCCCCAAGTGGAGGAGTTCAAGTACCTCGGGGCCTTGTTCATGAGTGAGGGAAAAATGCAGGGTGAGATTGATAGGTGGATTGGTGTTGTGTCTGCAGTGATGCGGGCGCTTTACCGGTCTGTCGTGGTGAAGCGAGAGCTGAGCTGGAAGGCGATGCTAGCAGAGTTTTAGACGCTACATCTGAATGACACATTGTTGTCTGCTATAATGCTAACACAGAAACAACGGAGACCCGCCACTGTTTACAGGAGTGTTTGAGCAGAGTTTCTGGCGTGTTGTCATCAGCTGGTACGGGCTCAGAACAGAAGCCATCTTCTGTTTGGCGAACACTTTTTAAAACACTGGATTTTCTTATAAATACAGCCATGAAAATCCAAAACCCTTTTTCAGCTGAGTTTTAATTTTGCTTCACACATTCATACAGTGTAATTTAGCCTCTGGATGACTTTTAAATACTTATTTCACTTTATTTTTTACATTAGCTAGCTACTTATTCCATGCTGCCAATATGTGGAGTAGACTCTTGAACAATAAACAATGAAAATCGGAACTCAACAATTAAAATAAGTCAATTTCTTGGGAGGTGGGTCGGCTGAGTTACATTCTCGGTTATTGGTTCTTCCGATCTTTATTTAGAATATGTTATTTATTCAAAAGAGTTAAAATTAGACATTTTAAGAGAAAGTTGTTGAAGTTACATACAGCAGGGCTGCAGCTGTGGAATATTGTTGTATTAGACCATTCTATCAAATCTTCTTTCAATTAATCAAACAATCGATTAGATAAAAAAAATTCTGATGAGTTTGTTTTAAAAAATCCACTCATGATTCATTTCAGAAGGGATGTTCAAGTTCAAGGTATGTTTACTTTAAATGTGATTAAATTCAATGAATCATGTCAATGAAAAATTGCAGAAAGTGTTAAAGGTTATTTTATTTTTAAAGCAAGAATGTGGATTTGAATACATGCTCATGAATTTCAATTCTGGTGTATAACTCTTATGGTATCAGTATGCTACTCTTAAATTTTAGCTTAAGCTTCATATGGTGTGGGGGGGTTGGGGTTATAAGCTTCTGTCTGTACCCATTTTTTGATTGTCTAAGTTGTGCGTTTACTTGTAAAGCCACCATTTAAGAAATCGTGTTACGATCATGTTTATTAGCTCCTGATCCGATCGTTTTCAGCAAAGCATCAAAATAAAAAAATAAAAAACACTTACAAGTTGTCCTTTGTCACTTTCATTTGTTTGGGAAGTACACCGATTTAAAAACGCGTTTACATTGTGAATATATTTAAAGGTTGTTTCCTCCTTCATTATGCAGCTGGACTGATGGATGCACAATCCCGTAACGGATAAGGTAAGCGGCACCTCTGCTGATAGGCTAACTTCTAACGCACAACACCTACCTGTGCTTTGGGCTTGGGGCTGCAGGAAACATGTTTGTATGCAATTATTTTTTCATATATTAGCGTACCTTTCTCTGTCAGCTGGTTCCACTTTTTTGTCCGAGTTCACTGTGAACTGGGACTGTTAGTGGCAAAGTGGGAATTAATGGAGACCGGTGATTCACTTTGACACCCAAAGGGGAAAGAGAAGGTAGTTTGTTTGAAGGCAGAGAATCATGGAAACATTCTTCCAGCATGTTGAATGCCCAGTATGCACTTACTACACGTGGCTGTTGCTCTGCCTTTTCTGTCCGGTTTAAAATACCACCATGCTGCAGACGTTAGCCTGTTTGCTAACAGCTGCAGCGTGGTGTCTGAATCTCTGCCTGATGTAAGTTGTGTGATGTTAAGGTGCTGTTTTTGCATACGAAACAAAGAATATTGATGTAGAGGAACTTGTTGAAATTAAAACTAAACTGGTAGTATTCCATTGGAAATTCTTTATCTCAGAATGAATTAAAAAAAGTCACGTTTGTTGTTTTAAAAGGTTAAATTTGATTAATTTCTCCCGATCCTTTTAAAATCACACCACTGGATCGGAGCATCCCTACTTTTCAGGAAAACCACCTTTTATTAAACAACAACAAAGCGTGTAAAAATATCCAGGACAACTGCAATGTCCTTGAAGGGGGGTTCATCATGATGAGACGTACCCCAGTGGCCCCATGTACATCTTAGAAGAAACACCGATGCAGTGTTTGACTGATCGTCACTTTAAAGAGCAAGTCACCCCCAAATCAACTATTTTTTTTCTGATAAACTATATAAATGCGTGTCTAATTGTCCTGCAGACACGTGTAGTCAATAGTTTTGCACTTTAGTGTATTTTAGTTAAAATTTTAATTTTCTGCCTGAAACTGTCAGTGTTGTGCCGTTGTCAGGTAAAAACTCTGCACTGCATTTGAATTTAAATCTGCCACCGCTATTGGCTAAGAGGTATGCTATGATGTAAACTGGTACATTATGATGTCACAATGTCGTGAGTGTGTGTATTTGTTAGTGGCTCCACCCTCTCGGTCTGCTAGGCAACAGCATTTGTTGCATTTTTCAAACATGAAGTGGGAGTGAAGTGCGCTTCTTGTAAGGGGTGACTGGCTCTTTAAAAACAACATGAGTTCCCCGATGAGCCAAAAGTACGACCAGCTTGGTCTGCTTGTGGATCCCGGACCCTTCTTACTTGAGGAACTTGGCATATTCAGGTTCCTTCCAGTAGAGCAGGTACTTCAGGTAGTTGATGAAAGGTCTCTCCCTCAGGTAACCCCTCTGAGCCAGAACTGAAACAGAACCAGATGTTTCATTCTGTGAACGTTAGGAACCCGCTCCTCTCGCTGTGGATCAGTCACTCACAGTTCAGGTAGTTCGGGTTGGCCAGACACTGGACAAACTCCAGTTCGGACTGGAATCGGTTCCGAGCCTGTTCATCTGGACCACATAAACATCCGGCATAACAGAAAACACGTTTAGTTCACCAGACTCCACTTAAAAACCAGACACTTTAATAAAGTGCTTCTATACTTTCCTTAAAACTTGTTCGAACAACTAAAAACACTAAAAGTGGGAAAACAACACGAATTTTAAAACTAACGGCTTCGCATATTAACCAAAAATCAACGTAACTGCTGTAATAATAGTTTAAAACCGGAATGTTTGTCTCCGTTTAAAACCGAAGCTAAAATATACACTACCAACCTGTTTCCATGACAACAGGAGTCATTGACTGGGGTATAAACCTAATATTTTCAAATTTGAACACAAAACTAAGAAAGCACAAATCTTCAGAGCCTCCGTCTTTGTTTAAGTTTAACAAACGCCATCAAACGTAAGCGGACTCTTGTGACGGGAAACCGAGCGTCCTTCACGACATTCACTACAGTTTACGGCTGCTGTAGTGCTTCTTTCTGACCACTAGAGGTAGCCACAGAAATAGAAACAGAATTAATTTCAGGGCAGTTAAAGCACACATGATAATATAATATAATATAATATAATATAATATAATATAATATAATATAATATAATATAATATAATTTAATTTAATATAATATAATATAATATAATATGATATAATCGACCTATTTCTCCTTAGAAAAGCTGGATTAAGCAAACATTTAAAAATAAACTCATCCATTATTTAGGTGAAGAATATAACTATAAATTATAGTTCAAAACTATAGTAATTGCATAACCATTTAATGCCTATCAGACTAACTAACTAACTAACTAACTAACTAACTAACTAAGGGTCTTAACAGTGTGGTATTCCCCTATAACGGCTGCCCAGCCCTGGGGCCTCATTTATAAAGCTTGCTTACTCACAAACGGGGTCGGAAAACTGCGTAAGCAACTTTACAAGCAAACTTTGGGATTTATGAAAGAAAACTTAGCGGAAGAATGTACACAACTTTAAGATGACTAAGCACCTGGCTTACGCACATTTTGGACATGGAGAGCACCTGCAGTGCTGCTGCTGAGAAGAGTAAAATTATGAAATCCTGCAGCATCATCACTTGTACTGCTTCGTTTTCACGCAGAACAAGACCCCCCACACGCACGCACACACACACACACACACACACACACACACACACACACACACACACACACACACACACACACACACACACACACACACGCACACACACAGCCTGACGCGCAGAATACGGAATGCAGAATATCAGCAGGGGGACAGATTGAGACGGAATGTCATGCGTCTGTGACAGTGTGTGTGTCCTGTTACTGTAACTCGATTTATCATGCACCCTGGCTAGTTGAATAGGGGAGATCTCCATTTGGCTGACTGGTTAGCACATGTGACTTTCACCTGGGAGTCTGGGAATCGAATCCTGATTGGACCATCTTTTTTATATCCGCCACAGATCTCTCTGAAGAATTTACAACATTGACGGCTTCAGCAACGCTGCGTCTCTCCGTGGATTTTCTCTTATTTGTTTTGCAAAAGTACTTCCTTTCATTTCTCCACCTCACCCACAGGTACCTCAACTTCTGCTTCTGTGATATTGTGCTTCCTTGATCTGCCTTGATCTACGGTCGCCATGTCATTGGATGTGATTCAAGTTCTTGTGTGAGCCTTGAGCGCAGCTTTGTTTTATTTATACTCTACAGAGAAAACTTGCTCACAAAGATAAGTTTATTTTCACTCTACATTGTAAAGTATGAAAATAAAGTTTACACAACCATCTCGCGGGCCGGATCCACACACATTATATAATATAATATTTTAATGACCTCTTCTGTTGCTGCCACTTCAGCTGCAGTTGCCTGTCGGGGGTTGGACGCTCCAGCTCCTGCTGTTTCACCAACACGTCCCAGCCTGTAGGCTTGTTGGATTTGCACAGGTCGGGGGAATGTTTCTGCACCAAACACCTCCGGCAGCCAACTCTCGAGAAATCCACAGGCATCTGATTTCTCTTTACCTTCAGGAATACCCAAAATACGAAGATTGGATCGGCGAGTCCGGTTTTCTAAGTCATCAACTTTAAGCGTCAGGTCTCTGACAATAGCTTTCATGTCTGCGTTCTCAGCTTGAATAGAGGCAATGTCATCTTGGTTGGTGCTTATTCTACCTTCCGCCTCCGTGACTCGTATTGCCATCGCCTTGAGCTCTGTCTGGACTCCCTGTATTGCCTGTAGGAGTGCGTCAAACCTCGATATGAAGTCGTCTCTCATCGTTTGAAGAGTTGATAGTATAAAGTCTGAGCTGTTAGCCTCCGGCAGGCGGTCTGAGCTACCAGCTTCTGAAGAGTCGCTAGCATTTGCCACCGCAGCTGCCTCACATGGGTCTGGGCCCGGCTCGTTCTTCGCCATTCTTAGTGTCTTTTTGTCCGATTTTGGCGCCATCTCAGCCACACGTTCACTGGTTATATATTAGAGAGGTTTTTAAAATCGAATACAGGTACTAGACAGGTCACTTTACATCGCTGTTCACGGGAGCTCTCACATGCGTCCGTTCAGCCTTGCGCCATAACCGGAAGTCGAGTTCATTCCTCTTACTTGTAAGTCCTTTAACTTGTGACTTGACACAATCCTTGTTTTGGAGGTCATAGTGGAAATCTTGAGTTGGACCGGTTCAAATTTTGTATTCTGCGACTCAGCTGTGTTCTTCAGGATGAAAGTTGTATCGCTTTGAGTGTCGAGCAAAGCAAACACAAGCCTTTCTTTCTCTGGTTCATCCACGGTTGATACATTAACTGGGATTACTGAGGAAGTACAACCCTTTGATTTTTGTTGTAATACTCTGTTGGATGTGACTTGCTGAGATTCTTGCTCTTGTGCTTCAGACACCTTTTCTGTCTCCTGATTGTGGTTTGTTGGTTGTTGATTATTCTTTGCTCTTTTCTCTTCATCCCCCTTTTCTCTGTCTTGATGTAGACAACCTGGGTGAGGTTTCTGACATCTGTTGCACACACTTCTAGACTTACAGTTCTTAGAGTTATGACCATACTTGAGGCAACCGAAGCACAGGTTTTCAGCCTTCACAAACAACTCTTTCTTCGACTGACTTTTCCATCATCTTTCGACATTTATGTAGTGTGTGACCAGGTTTCTTACAAAATAGACGTGTAACAAATGTCTTCTCATTTGAGCTTGTGTTAAGAGTTTTAGCACTCAGGGTACCACTTCTTCTTGATTTGTCTTTGTATGGATGCTTGTTATCTAACTCAGTTGGCTTTATTGCCTGCAGTGAGGTAATCGGGTTGCATGCAATTTTTGCTTCTTTATTTAAAAATTTTACAAAATGACTGAAATCAGGAAACATTTTGTGTTCATCTTGGAACTCTGTAACTTTTCTGTTCCAACGTGCACTTAACCAATCAGCTAACTTTGCTGGTGTTCTCTGATTTTCCACACAGTCGTTTAAAACTTGTAAACCTTGGACATATGGAATGGCTGATTCAACACTTGTTAAGAAATCAGCAAACTCACGTAAATCTTTACTGTCCTTGGCTGTGATTTTAGGCCATGATTGAATCCTGTCACGATAAGACTTGCCAATCACAAAAGGATCTCCAAATCTGTCGTCGAGCATTTCCCAAGCTAGAAAGTGACCTTCGATAGCCTTCTTAGCTGAACCTCCAACATACTTTCTCAAGAAGAAAAGCTTTTCTTGTGTTGGCAGATTTTTGCGATCAACCAATGTTTGAAAAGACAGCTTCCAGTCATTATACTGCAGTGGGTCACCTGTGAAGACTGCAGGTTCAGGCACTGGAAGTCTATTGGCTGTGATTGCTTCAGCAAGAGTCTTTACAAGATCAATGGAGGCCGCTTCACTTGCAGTTGGAATTTCTGTTTTCTGGACAAATCGTTGATTTGCAGGATCTTTAACTTGAGAAGGAATGAATGGCTTTGAGTGAACATTCAGAAAGCATGATGGTAGAAGGGAGCTATCTTGTTTGTAAATGTTAGGCGGTTCTTCACCCTCACCTTTTATGCTTTCAGCATACACTTTTAATCTAGCTTGTGCCGCATTGTGCTTTTGCAACTCCTTCAATAGTTCCACTTCTTTTCTCTTCTCTTCCAGTTTTGTCTTTATTGTAGTGCTCTCTGTTAGAAATTGGGCTCTTTTCTTTGCATCCTCAACTTCAAGTTCTCTGATTTCTTCCTCACATTGATGTTGTGTCTTCATTATTTTAATGACCTCTTCTGTTGCTGCCTCTTCACCTGCAGCTCCCTGTCTTTGTTGCAGTGTAACTAGAGATGACTGTTTGGACATCTCAGAGATGGACTTTGACTTAAATGTGATCCTTGAGCTGATGC